TTCCGATGCAAGCTGGTAGTGGAAAACGGGGGAAATTTGTGGAGCATGGGCACCACTGGTTTAGCAAATGGCAATCACAAATCTTGGTTGCACCAGATATTCCTCAATTGAAATGAGAACTCAGCCTTTCGACAAGTCAGCTAGGCCGAAAATCCTGGATCACATCAAAATGACCAGAATAGTCCAATAGGTCTTACTTGCGATGTCAAATTCCTGGATTTTTGAGTGGTATATTTTGCTAGCTTGTTGATCCTCTGCTTAGTGTCACTTCTAGACATGTGGCAAGCACATCCCATCCCCAAAAAACCCATGACGATTTCAGTTGACCGCTGGTGATGATCGCAGTCATTCTCATATTTTCCTGAACTCTCCGTATGGTCTCACTCAGAAGCTGGTTAATATGCCATGAGGAAAACATACCACATATATATATATACACATATGTATGCAAATGTATATGTATATATATATATATATACATATGATTGTAAATTATATATACATGACTGGGGAGATTCTGGAAATAAGTTGGTCCACTTGTGCCTGGCATATCGCCTCTGGCAATGAAACATGCCTGGGTCCCAGCCCCAATGAGAGTTTACCATGTTTGAGATCCATGATACAACCCATCATTAATCCCCATATCCCCATTCTATTCCCGTTTTGATGGTTCAATCAGCATCGTACCCCGCTGATTTCTCGTTGCTTCCGTTGTTTTCACAGCACTTTTGTACCAAACCCAACCACGACATTTCTGGGGAGGCCAAGTCCTCCCGACAAAGGGGCCCATTGCTGATCGTTGTCCCACCCCAACGGCGGAAGTTCAAAATCATGCATATGCAGGTATGTACATTTTATTGTGCACACACACACATATATATCTATACATATGCACATCTATCTATCTATCTTTCTTTATTTCTTTCTTATTCTGTCTGTCTGTCTGTCTGTCCGTCTATCTATCTATCTATCTATCTATATGTACATGTACATGTACATTTATATGTATATGTATATGTAAATGTCTGTACGTATATGTTTCCATGTGTATATATATATACACATGATGTATATTTGGTTGTTTCTGAATATTGGGGGTAGCCCCACCCTTGTCTCCCCAAGGATTCCGCCATCGGGTCCTACGTTTCACTACGGACACGAGCTTGGCTCAGTGTCAGGGAAGAGGCTGGCAGCATCCCGGAGCGATCCAAAATGGGGTGCCTTTGGGGATCATTGGTTGAGGAGATGGATGAGAACTGGGGGTACCCCCATGACTTAGGACACCTACATATAGCTATAATATAGCTATAATGGTACATTACTTTAATGGTATGATGTTGGAAACCCAATCCATTGTTCTTACTGGTGCTTAGTAGGGATGGGAATGGGGGACTGGGATTATTAGTTCGCCAATGGGAAGGATTATCCCATAGATTATGGAAAAAATCATGATCCAAACCACCAACCAGATTATTATTGGAAGATGGATCATTGGAAGCAACAGCTATATGAGATTTTTTTGATCTATTTCATGGGAATGATGATGAATATATTGAAAATAAGTTAGCAACTGGTTAAGTAATAATGGGAAGAACTGTATATCTATAGTCAGTTGGATAACCCCACTTGAATAACGGTATTATAATGAGAATATCCTTGGAATATTGAGAATATATTGGGATTAACACCTATAGTTTGTGACTGCTTAAGTAATAGTGGGAATAACTATGTAAATAAACAAAAAATGATAAATAAATAAATAGCTATATATATACATATGTATATATAGCCCAAAATGATAATTGTGAACTACACCATATTTACAAGCCATTTAGATTAGATACCCCCACTGAATTGGGACTTACTAGGCTTACAAAAACCAGAAAAACGATGACCGAGGGAAGTACACGAGGCTGGTAAACTCATGGGGGTTTAAGGCTTGAAGTAAGATATAACTTACGTATGGAGGTTTCCGGAAATAGGTAGCATTTTAGATGGGAATTTTCCATTATCAGGCATCCATTTGGGGGTACCCCCATTACCATGGAAACCCCCATAGAACGAAGGCTATGAATCAAAAGCCTTGCCAAACGCCCAAAGATGAGCATGATGCGGGAATCATTTTCACTCAGAATTCATCAACCGCCAGTTTCCGACCAGGGAGGTATATCGGGGGACACGAGGCGACTTGCGGCAAAGTTCGCAACCCTAGGCACTGGCTATAAGCAAAATGCCATGTACTCCAATCTAGGTGTATGGCTACCATCCTGTATAGCCAAGGAAGCACGCGTTGTATCACTATGGTATCCAATTATATTATCCAATTATATCCAATTCTATCCAGATATGTATTCATTAGATTCTCATATTTTATGTTCAGTGATGGTAAATACCCATTATGGTTCTCCCCGTTCACCGGGACGTACCGAACCACTGGCACAGGAATGATGAGATTCACTCATCACCGTGGAAGTGAAGTGATTTTTGACGCTGGGCGTTGGAAAATGTGTGACCCGGCTCTGGAGCGACCGGCAAAAAACAGCACAAGTGCCATCTTAGATGCACCCCCTGCAGAAATTGAAATTAAGATCATTGATAGCTGTTGAGGTTTAATCTATCACCTAGTTTTTTGCCATGAATGGCGATCTTTTTTTTAGGTATTGAGGTTCATCCATCACCATCTATAGCATAACCAAGGTTGACCCAGTCATCAGTCGGGTGGAATCAGCTGGTTGGTCATGAATGCTGAGCTGTTTACCCTCCGGGAAACGTTAACAAAAAACTATGGAAAATCACCCTGTTTAATGGGTAAATCCACGAACTAAATCACCATTTTCAATAGCTATGTATCATCTGGAGTTTTCTGGGATTGATGACATCCATAGCATCGTTCTTGTAGCGTTGTCAGATCGTCTTCTTTGTCATCCCCATTATCCTTGTCATCTTCATCGTTCTTGTAGTCATCATAGTCATCATTTCATCCATCTGGATAGTTTGTAAATATTTGTAACGACCTCACTGTCCTCCCTCACTGTAAATGATCAGCATAGGGAACAAATCCCCAAATATCCAACTGTTGGAATTAACCAGATCCATGAAAACAAAACTATCACCATCATGAATATCCACTGGTCAGATCTATTTTCCCTCAAAAGTGGCATGAGAATCCTGATTAGCTTCGTGATTTTTGGGCGGCCTCTTAAAATAAGAACTTTGGCATCATTTCTGGACAAACCAGTTGAAACACGGGCCAGAGCCCCAGAGGCAAACGCCATTGCTACATGTTTCCTATGGAAAGCAGCCTACATCATGACGCAATTCATAGAATAATCAGGGACAAGTACATCAACAATCATCAACATCTATGCCACAAGCGTCATAGAAAGAGTGTGTACTCCCACTATTCCCATCATGAAAAAAACTTGGTCTCAAAATGGGGATCTCAAAATTGGCAGACAGGGGAAGTCTGCAAAACCGTCCAGTGGTTCTGATGGATGCCTGACGAAAACCATAGATAGAACATGTAACTGTAATGAAATTCTTTTCACTTCCCAAAACAAGCCAGTAAATAAGATCATGTTTTTGACCCTCTTGAACCATCAAAAAAAGGATCTTGATAAGGGCTTGTCTGAAAATCCTTATCGCAAATTTCGTTGGAAAAATGATGATCATCAAAATTGGGGTACAGTAGCCTAATTCTATACACGCCCGACGTTTCAACACAAACCCATATCGGTTGGTTGCCAGGAGTTCATCCACGTCATCATGATTCAAAATTGACACAGTAGTTTTTGAGTCTCAATAAATTCCATCCCCTAATATTAAAACATACCCCCATAGTATTGCAATGTTTTAGTATGGGATAAACACATTTATGACTGGGACCAGTATGTTATAGGGGTGTTTAATAGGAACTGGAGATGGGGTTAATAGCAAAATCCCAATTATCAAGTTCCCCTTTATATCCCAGTTGGTTTTATATTCCATTCCCGTTTCATTCCCACTCTATCTTAATAAGTGACAAAGTAGTATAATATAGGTACAATTAGAATAAACCATCCATTTGGGAATGGTTCATACCACCTATAAAAATGGTGATGTGGAGGATGGTTTATTATTGTTTTACCCACATTAGTATAAACCGCAATACTAATATCCACCAGTGTCTTCATATCATGTATTCTACATGGCTTCTCAGGCGGGTCTCACTGCACGCACACAGAGCGCAACGAAAGCCGCGAGGAATTTGTCTATGCATAGCTCAGAGCCAGAAGGACACCTGAGTTTTTGGAGCTTTGCTGGAAGAAATCGGAAATGACACATGAGGAAAATCACCGTTTAATGGTGTTAGTGGCGAAATCTCATGGGGGTGCAATGGCAATGGACAATTCCTACGGAGGTAAACGCCATGGAACTGATGACGGTGTGACATGATCTGCATACCCGAAACGGTAAATTATTAACATATGGAAACTCACCCTTTATAAAGTGACTATAAGTAACCATTTGCAATAGCTACTGTGGATCCCAAAAAAACCTGCACCACTTTGGATGGTTGAAGCCCTATATTTTTTTTGGATTTTGCCCATGAATTAACTGGTGCAGGAGTGCTTAGGATCCACAAACCTCCCACCAGTTGCCCCAAAGGAAGCAGGGCCCGTAAATTGGAACCGTTTTTGGAGTGAACCATTTGTTTCGAACATCTTCATTTTCTGTCATCAAAACGTAAAGCTTGACATAATCTATTTTTTCGCTAACTCCAAGACAATTTTTTTGCTTAACTCCAGCATTTTGTTGAATATTTTCACCCTGACTCACCATTCTTGTGCCTTACATCACACTCAATCTCCATGTTGTTTGGTTCAGCAACCATAACTCACCATTTTTGCTACATCATTCTGAAAAATTTCGACAAAAACAGATCATCACCATATCCTATGAAAAAATCACCACAATCCAGGGGAAACCATAGGGAAAGCAACGGGAAAAAAATGCTGATTTCACCAAGACACGGAGGCCAGGGATTGTGGTGACAGCGGTTCACTGTCGGAAGGTCCAGGGCTTCCAGACCTGCTGGTTGGTGAAGAGTTGATGTTAATGGGATATGAATGGATGATTCATGGATATCCCATATAAATTTTAGATTCATATTTTAGTTAATGGGATCATCCATAATCATGAATAAAAAATGGGATGATCATGATTTAACAGTGAATGGATGATCATGATTTAACAGTGAATGTTATCATAGCTCATGGATTGTTAGTGGATGATTCATGGATGATTCTGTCATGGGAAATTTTTGGATTAATCCATGAGGATTTTTCACATGAAATCTATGGTTTATGGTTTATTAAAAAAATATGTTGTTAAACCTATTCTTTGAGGTAAATATTGCTTTATAATTGTAATGGTCATCTATGGGTTTATGTGTAAATATATCGAGCTTCTTCATGGGGTGAACATAAGCCAGCTTAGAATGTGGCAAACCAGATCGTAAAAATGAACGGCTAAGGAATAATGGTTGGAGAAAACCACTCTTTAGGGCTAGCAGGAAACAACTTTTGTTCATCATATTCAAAGCTATTATATGTAAATATATATATATAACCAGCTATAATATTGTAAATATATATATATATGAATATATGAAACTGGGATATATATGACCTATCCAAGAAGGACCCCCAAATTGAGTCCAGGCATGACTAATGAAATTACCTAAGCAAATGCAACTAAAGCAACACATGCAGGGAAATACCTACCACACAATCACGATGCCCATTACGACGAAGTGAAGGAAGTGGAGTGACAGAGTGTGAGGCGAGAGGGCGCTACGCTTCACGTCTTTCATCACCTCAATCTCTCGCCTCACCGTTCGGTCTCTTTCCTCTCCGAGTCTCCGTACGGCGAGGTTCCTCACCTCACCTTACCTCCCGGAGGGTCTGAACGGAGGAGTGAGGGATGAACGACGAGCGTAGAGAGTGAACGAAGGGAGGGAAGGGAGAGACATGGAAACGCAAAGTCGTCACCTCACGGGCTCCGCCCTTCACACTCGACTCGCAAAGATGTGAAGAACTAGATTTGTGGCTCACTAGGTTATTATACCATTAAAGTACCACAGATCCATGCCAGGTTTAAATATCTATATATATATATATGTGTATATATATATATCCAGTAAAGGATTACAAAGAATAGTCATATATATATATATACATACACAGAATGGGATGTACTATTTGGTATACCACTTTGCAATCGTTCATTGATGGAGAATTTCATGCCTGTCACAATTCATAGCCAAATTGATTAATACGCATCTATTGGTTGCCCACTTCATGGGGGCAGGCCACTCCTCAATAAAGTAATGGGAAGAGACACCGATCTTGGCAAATTTCGGAGGTCCAGATGTGAAGACATGTTTGACAGTGACACCGGCACTAAAGTACAATGTGTCTCTCGGTTCAGCAAATCATCATTATCGCGTGTTATAGATCTAAACATATGTGTACATACCACTATATATATATATATACACATTTCTGGCTAAATTAGAAAAAATCACAAACCTGAATTAAGGCTATTTTGGGTTCCGTACCCCTACTAGCCACCATTCCAGCAAGGTCGCATTGAGGTCGCCGTTTAATTTACCCACATATATGAACATATTTATATATGAAAAACAAATCATCCAGAAAGACATCAACAAATATGTATGTATGTATGTATATATATAAACATATTTATATATGAAAAATGAAATTTATACATTACATCTATTTCCATATCCTCTCCAGATCTCCATGGCTTCGTCACGGCACATAGCGCTGTTCGTGGAAGTGCTGGAAGTGCTGTCCGAAGCGTCACGACAGTTCAAGCTCTTCAGGTCCTAGGACCAAACCACGGCTGGGGACCATGGTTTGAATCGTTGTTTTTTTTCAAAAAAACACCAGAAACTAATAAAAACCCAGCTTTGTTCTGTGGCTTTTGAAAACCTTTATGGCTTAGGACTTGTTCAATCTACGAAAATTGAGATGCCACAAGTCCAGGAGAACCGATGGGGCAGGTGAAACATCGGATTCTTCCGGAAACGGATGTTTTACCTGTTTCAGGTCCAGCTGATATATTGATATATTTAGAACCTACTGAATGTCTGGTTGGTGGTTTGGAACACGAATTTTATGACTTTCCACTCAGTTGGGAATAATCATCCCGACTGACTTTCATATTTTTCAGAGGGGTAGGTATACCACCAACCAGGTATATATGTATATATATATACACACGTATATATATATATATAAAATTATATATATATATACAATATACACATATATATCATCCAGGTAACTTGATAATTGCCCGTGAAAATGACATATGTAGGAAATAATCCAAGTCCAACTGATATTTTGCCTAGAAAAAATCTGTAGTTGAAGAGCAACACTCTCGAATTAGCGAGAGACATCTATCACCATATATCACCATCTAACACCATCACCATTTTTTGTTGGTGAAATTCTTCCCCAAACATATTTCGTTCACAGCATCACCATCGAGTGAATTTCCACCATTGGATCACCCAGGGTATTCCAGCACATTCCCAACTTCAAATGGAAGATAGCTTTGGTAAATGGAATGGAATGGTAAATGGAATGGTAAATGGAATGGTAAGTGGAATGGCAACTATCCAAATCCAAAATGATAGCTTTGGTAAATGGAACGGTAAATATCGAGCACAATAAGACGCTATTCAACGACTATAACATCGGTAACCATTCTCTACCATTCTCGTTTAATACGACGGTATTTGACCGAGCGCCAAAAAAACTTGAGCTCCACCATTGAAGGTGAATTCTTGAGCCATGCACCGTGGCACATGGTATTCATGAAAGACTTTTCCGATCAAAAGGACTTATGTCACTCACGTCTATTGGAAATTAAACATATCAAACCGTGATGAATCAACACTCTGAACAAATGGTGCGGAGTTGGAATCAAATCTGGGCTTTGGTAGTTAAACCTACTAATTACTAAGCATATTAACCACTGCTATGATCACCCATCTATATAAATCAGCAATGGCATATATATATATAAATACAGATAAATACATATGGAAATTGTAGCCAGTGGCGTTTTGAAAGATATTTGATATTTTCACCAACCATGTTTTCAGATAGAGGTGTCCTAAGTCATGGGGGTACCCTCAAATCATGTTTTTCATGGGATTGCTTCTCAAAAAATCCATCTATCAGGGTACAGGATGGTGCCCCCCTGGTTATCATCCCCTTTAACTATAGCTATATCCCCCATAAACCCTAGTTATTGGACTTATAAACCAATTTAGCCAACGACCTGGGGCCCCATCCTGTACCCCTAGATCTGATTTCCCGCTACCGCCCCGGAAACATCACCGCGAGGCCCCAGGCACCACCATCATCGGCAACTCCCTCGGCAGCGAACCCAAACTGTCCAGTGTGGGCTGGCGGCTTAGGGACCTAGGACGGCCGTCATGGGGGACATCATTCACTGTGAACAATGGGGGTTTCACCATGAAACATGGGGATTTGAGCAAGAAAAATGAACAAAATCCACTACAATCGGGATTTCATCAAACATAACGAGTCAATTCATTCAGCAAAAATTGGGATTGAACTTGAGAGGGGGAACGCGAAAGGTAGGTGATCAAGAAGGGGAAACAAACCTGTCCCTGTAAGAACTGGTTGTGTAAAAACGTGCTCTGTGCACAAACTTCTGTGTGTGAAAAAAAATCTGTGTAAAGGCCTGTGTGTAAAAACGTCTGTGTAAAAACTGCTGTGCATAAAAATTCTGTGCGTAAAGGCTTGTGTGTGCGGAAAAAAATAAGTGTGTAAAAACTGTTCTGGGTAAAATTTTTGCGTGTAAAAGTTTCGGTGTGTAAAAACTTCTTTGTGCAGTCTGTGTGGACAATTTTTTTTTGTGTCAAAACATTCCTGTGTAAAAGTTTTTTTGTGTAAAAATTGTTCTGTGCAAAGGCCAAAAAAATCCAAACTCAAATGCTTGCTGTCGTTACGTTATTGATATGGCGGTGATGTGCGCAGGGCCCCGCAAGGCGTCATTTTGGTTGTGTTAAACCAATCTTGAAAAACCTTTGGGACAAAAAAAACCGCAAATGTCCATGTTTTTGACGCCTGACAGGCCAAAAACCACGGTATTGTAGTTGTAGTTGTAGTAGTAGTAGTTGTTGTTGTTGTTGTGGTTGTGGTTGTGTTTGTTGTTTGTTGTTTGTTGTTTGTTGTTGTTGTTGTTCTTGTTCTTGTTCTTGTTGTTACCCCTGCAGTTTTTTTCTCAGTCGCGTAGTGGCCGAAAATCGTCAAATAGATAGTGTTTTCGCGTTTTTTTGAAACTTTCGGAGCAAAAAAAACCGTAAATACCTATATATTTTTCGCGCCTCGGAAGCCCAACACCACGGTATTTACAATGTTTTTATTGGTTTCGGATAGCAAAAACCATGATATTTACAGTTTTTTTTGACAGCGCCGAGCAAAAACACTGGTATTTGCCAAGTTTTCGGCATGTTGCATTGCAAGAAGTGATTTTTTCCAGGCAAAGTCACAAACCCATGTAGATTACAGCGTTTTGGGTCTGCTTTTAGGGTTTGTGACCCGCATGCCTATATCAATGGTTCCTGCTGTATGAATGTTGTAAACTTTTATGGAGGTAAAGTCAAGTAAATGCTCTTGGCCCTTGGCCATCAATACATATTCCCATAGGGTGAGGAGCACGTCAGGCGATAATGTCAACCTCGGGTTCTAATACTACTCCCTGGTTGATCTAGGGGGGGTTCAGCACGGGTTCCCCATATACTAAAGCTTTGCCACCTAAATGGTGGCCTAATTGCAAGTGAATGGTGCTATTAATCCAATTCTCCATATTATCCTCATGTCATTCCTGTTTTCCATATACTCCCACTATATATAGTAGAATCCCTTTTATCACACATATATATATATGTATGTCAATTAATTAATACCATTGATCATGTATCAATCCAAATCGCCATATGTCTATATATATACACATACATGTATATCTATCTATATATATTGAATATAACCAGTGGATGCCATTCAATATATAGTGGATTAATCCCCCATTATATCAATCAAAATTCCCAACGTAATCCCATGGATCTCATAATATTCTATGGAAGATATCATATTATATTATATGTATATGTATAGTTATATTGAAATTTATTTTGTCCATATGCCATTAGTCTTTTGTTCTTCCCCAGCTGTCCAAGTGACGCGGGCTGTTCCTCAAAAAGCCCCGGTGGCAGAAACTCCAGCCCCGGAGGAGGCGCGAACGCCTCGAAGTCGATTCTTTTGGATGGGAAAAACATCTGAAAAATGGAAAATCATGGGAAAACCATGAAAAATGGACGTTTCAATGGAAACACATATAGGAACATCATGGGAATATCAGCTGAAAAATTGAAGTGGGAAAACACAGTCGATGCAGCCGGTGAACCCGAATGCAGTCACGTAAAACACGTTTGTGAAACAAGTTATTGAACAGTCTTGTATTTTTCCCCCCTATTACCGTACCAGTGCACTGTAGACTGTGGAATCTGGAAGAGGGTGGAGTGCACAGTATGGGGTGTGAAGAAAATGAACTAATGAGTGGGGAATGTAGCGTGTAGAGTGTGAAGTGGGGATTGTGGACTGTGGAGTGTAAAGCGTAAGGTGTGGGGTGGAAAGTGAGAAGTGAAGAGTGTGGAGTGTAAAGTGTGGAGTGTAAAGTGGGGAGTGTAGAGTGTAGAGTGTAAACTGTAGAGTGTAAAGTGTAAAGCGTAGAATGTGGCGTGTGGAGTGCAAAGTGTACAGTGTGGAGTGTAGACTGGAAAGTGTAAAGTGTGGAGTGTAAAGTGTAAAGTGTGGAGTGAAAAGTGTGAAGTGTGAAGTGTAAAGTGTGGAGTGTAAAGTGTGGAGTGTGAAGTGTAAAGTGTGGAGTGTGAAGTGTAGATTAAAGAGTGTGGAGTGTGGAGTGCAAACTGTAGAGTGTAAAGTGTGGAGTGTAGAGTGTGGAGTGTACAGTGTGGAGTGTGAAGTGTAGAGTGTAATGTGTAGTGTGTGGAGTGTAAAGTGTGGCATGTGGAGTGTAGAATGTAAAGTGTAGAGTGTGGAGTGTAAAGTGTGGAGTGTAAAGTGTGGAGTGTAGAGTGTAAAGTGTAAACTGTAGAGTGTAAAGTGTAAAGCGTAGAATGTGGCGTGTGGAGTGCAAAGTGTACAGTGTGGAGTGTAGACTGGAAAGTGTAAAGTGTACAGTGTGGAGTGTAAAGTGTAAAGTGTGGAGTGAAAAGTGTGAAGTGTGAAGTGTAAAGTGAAGAGTGTAAAGTGTGGAGCGTGAAGTGTAAAGTGTGGAGTGTGAAGTGTGAAGTGTAGATTAAAGAGTGTGGAGTGTGGAGTGTAAACTGTAGAGTGTAAAGTGTGAAGTGTAAAGTGTGGAGTGTACAGTGTGGAGTGTGAAGTGTAGAGTGTAATGTGTAGTGTGTGGAGTGTAAAGTGTGGCATGTGGAGTGTAGAATGTAAAGTGTAGAGTGTGGAGTGTAAAGTGTGGAGTGTAAAGTGTGGAGTGTAGAATGTAAAGTGTAAACTGTAAAGTGTAAAGCGTAGAATGTGGCGTGTGGAGTGCAAAGTGTACAGTGTGGAGTGTAGACTGGAAAGTGTAAAGTGTGGAGTGTAAAGTGTAAAGTGTGGAGTGTAAAGTGTGAAGTGCGACTTGTAAAGTGTGGAGTGTAAAGTGTGGAGTGTAAAGTGTAAAGCGTGGAGTGTCATCACATGTCACAAAGCGGCATGCTTGCCACGGAATTTGCACGTTGTTACCACTTGACGCAGCCCTGACATTGCGATTCTCAAAAAGCACGCAACACGCTCAAGCACTGTGCCTCCCACGCAAAATGACGATGGAGGTCTCCAAAGTGCTGCGCCCGCCACGAAAACTACAACTCAGCTTCTGAGAGTGACGCCAAAGCAGTGCGCCTGCCACACAAAACGACGTTCGACACGTTTGCAAACACGTGAGAATGTCAGGAAGTGCCACGCCTGCCGGGCGAAACGAGGCTACGCTACGTTTGGAACCTCCAAAAGTGACCGCTTTTGCAGAACTCGCCATAGGCACAACCATACGGCCCTCACGCGAACGGTTGCGGACGGTTGCGCGACTTCTGGCGAACACAGCCTCAACCCCAAACCCCCAGAGTGAAACGGGAACCCTTGCTACGCATTTGGGAAATATGGGAAAATCATCTGAAGAATGGAAGTTTCAATGGAAACAAACATGAGAAAATCATGGGAAAATCATCGATAACTGAAGGTTATGGGATGAAATCATCTGTTGATGCTTTTTTTGATGGCAGCATATTCTGTAAATGAAATTTCTAATGGTGAAGTCATTAGAAATATTCCAGGCAGGCCTGGAAACAGTTTTAAAAAATGCAACTCTTCGCATCTGTAAAATTTCTACAGATGTTGAAAGCAACAAAGAAGATCAAAGAAGCTGAGAGATGGAATGCACAGGCCTTTGGTGGTTGACATGAGGGTACACGATGATCACTAAAGGGTGGCGGTTGGAGTCACCTGTTCCAATCATACAGGTCACGTGAAGCCAAGTGTCCTCAGGATGGAAAGTCATCACTATCTTGAAATATGTTAAAAACCAAGGACAATTTTTGAATCAATCCTTGAACAGCCTGTGATTCAAAAAGGGGTCTGTAAAAATCCTCAACATCATTGGTCACATCCACGTAAAGCCTAATTTTACATTGGGTTCAGGGGATTCGAAGCAGTCACGCAATTCTACAAATCAAGGGGCTCAATCCCTATACACCACAATCGCATACCAACATTTTTCTGTCTTTCCACCAAGATGCAGGGCACAACAAGTCCACCTGCGGGTCATTCATGGTGATGGGGGTATAAACAGCAACACTGGATGATGAAGGGGCAGTTCGTGGATCATCAGAAACATGTGGAAGAGCTGATGAAACTCCAAGTTTGGTGGGGTCGCGTATAGATGGGTTTACCAGATTAGTCTGATTAGACTTTCCCATGGGTATTCCGTCGGAAACCAAACAACCCAATCTACATTTTCCATAACTTTAGATCGTATTTTGATAATCTAATGGTGATTGATTGGAAATCAAAAATCCTACATATACCATATCCAAACTTGTTTGGTTGTCCTTGATTTTTTACACTTTCGATGGGGATCTATCAGCTTGAGCAGAAGTTTTTGCAGACATGGGAAATAGTGGGACCTCAAATTTTGGTGAACTCCAGATGGCACCCTTGACACCAACATTGAACCTGCCAAAACATTGTTTTGGAACAGGATTTTCCAACAGAGGGCCCCCAGTTCTGTATTGGTTTATAGACACATCCACCTACAAATAAATCCGCCATAAACGCATCCATCCGGTGGCTTTATGTTTAAAAACCAACAGACGAAAACCCAATCTTGGGGGCCTCACATTGCATAAACATGGTGCGGGGCATCTGAGAGGCTCGCGACTGTCGTCACTTTTCAAACATTAGTATCGTCAGCAATATCATCATCATCATCATCATCATCGTCATTATCATCGTCATCAGCATCACCACCATCATCGCCAACATGATGATGATCATCATCAACAACATCAACATCAACATGTTCATCATCAACATCATGATCATTCTCAACGTCATGGTCGTAACTATTCTCACTGTCATCAGGATCATCATGACCATCATCATGCCCACCTTCATCATCAGCAGATGAGACGCATTTTTCAAGCGGAGGCTGCCAGGTGAGCAAGCTTACGCAAAGCAGTATTGACATCCATGTCTTGTGACAGGTGGGAGTATCTCCATGCACAGCTGTACGTGTATTCGTACAAAGCTGGGTTCAACTGTCCTTTCTGCAAGGTTGTTATACTACCAGGCAACCAACTGTCAAGCTGGTCCCCATTGCCTTCAGCCAACTGGGTCCCAGCCTTTGTGCTGGCCCCTTTTTGAGGAGGTCCCTTCAATTCTTGGACAAACTCACAGCATGACACATGATTAGAAGTGCAAGAGAATCTACAGCAGCGTAGCATGACACATGTGTGGAAGTGCAAGAGTACCTACAGCGTAGCATGACACATGTGTGGAATTGCAAGAGAATCTACAGCAGCGTAGCATGACACATGTGTGGAAGTGCAAGAGTACCTACAGCGTAGCATGACGTATGTGCGGAAGTGCAAGAGAATCTACAGCAGCGTAGCATGACACATGTGTGGAAGTGCAAGAGTACCTACAGCGTAGCATGACACATGTGTGGAAGTGCACGAGAATCTACAGCAGCGTAGCATGACACATGTGTGGAAGTGCAAGAGAATCGACAGCAGCGTAGCAGAGCATGACACATGTGTGGAAAAGAGAATCGACAGCAGCGTAGCATGACACATGTGTGGAAGTGCAAAAGTACCTACAGCGTAGCATGACGTATGTGTGGAAGTGCAAGAGAATCTACAGCAGCGTAGCATGACACATGTGTGGAAGTGCAAGAGTACCTACAGCGTAGCATGACGTATGTGTGGAAGTGCAGGAGAATCGACAGCAGCGTAGCAGGACGTATGTGTGGAAGTGCATGAAATGCAAGAGAGCGTACAGATATGTTGCATCACATATGTGTGGAAGTACAAATGACGTTATTATCCCCCCCCACCCCCCCACCCCCCCACACACACAACGTTTTTTTCACAGTAGAATGCAAAAAATGACAACAGTCGCGAGCCTCTCAGATGCCCAGCACCATAAACATATAGTAAATAGTAGCTCCCAAATGATTCAAACTTCAAATTTTGCCTTTCCTTTCCATCCTTTTTGGGGGATCGACCACATCATCCCTGTCGTGGTCGAAATGGGGTCCAGACCCTGTTTGGATAGGACGTCGGGGCATCAATGGCACTGTCAACACACTTTTGACCATGGCATATCTCGGAACATTCCCACTATAGTCACTATATCCTCCAAATTACTTGTGATTTTCCATTATTGTTGGTGCAATCCCCCAGTTCTTTATGGTTTCTTCGTAAATTTTTGCGATGATCCGCATGGTTCCTGGCCTGTGACACATGTGCCACCTTTGGAAGTAGCGGAAATTGTGAAAGTGGAGCTTTACGCGTTTCCAACTCCTGCTCGGGGGGATCACCACAACGAGGTTTGGGCCATTTATCAAGGGATGGAACCACAAAATGGTGATTTTGTACGGCTTTTCAGCGACTTATGATTGGGATCCTCCAAGTTCTTGGGAAATACTCACTGGGCGAAAATAGGGGCGATGGGAACCGATCTGCGCATCATTGGGAACGGTATGGTCCTGGGATTTCAGTGCAAACAGCAGCTCCTGAGGAAGCTTTGGCTTCTCTGCCGGCGTGCGTCTCAACTCTGACTTTCCTGACAGGTGACGTGGCAACCAAGGCCAGCACAAATCGACATTGACACCGCGGGTTCGCAGTGACATGAGTGTGATGGAGGAATCAACAGAAATGGATAAGGAGGATGTGCAGTGAACACCATGGGGATTCACGAAGTTCATACCAACCCAAATTTGGGGAAAATTGACATCGGTGGGCCGAGACATATCACTGGATATCAGTTGAACACCAAACATTGGACATTGAACATCAGATAGTTCTATGATCATAGTTATTTTGTTGAACATCATACATTATATATTGGTATCTATCTATCTATCTATCTACCTATCCATCCATCCATCCATCCATCCATATGTCTCTATATACACACATTATCTTATGGTTGTTTACCACGGATATGATCCCTGGAACCAACAGTGAGGACATTCGATGCCTCCTAATGGAGATTTTTTAGGGGATCATGGGAAGAAATTGATATATATATATATATGTATACACCCATACATACCCATAATAATCTCTACTAGAATACAGAGATAATTGGATATAATTCCATATAACTATACCTGTGTTTGTATAATATGGATATAAGAAACAACATGTGAGGATATATGGGTTTGACAAAAAATCGGGGATCGCCCCCAAGTCTTGGCTTACGTCATAGTGTCTGGTGCCCATGCGTATGCCCATATGCGAACTGGTAAACCCCCATTGAACACAGTACTGATGCTTCGGTAGATGATCCAAGTTCATCCAAGTCTCCATGCGCGTACTTGCAGTCATCGCCATTCTTGCACATGCCCTGCGGGACACATCTGGGGTGAGGCACCACATTACTCCACAGTGTTTTCCTCGGAAAATCCTCAGAAACCGGAAGCTGGGGAAATAGATACTGCGTTACGATTTTTCTGAGCAACGAAAAACATCACTTACAACTTACCATTCACCTAAGTTTAATCCAGATAATTTTCCATAGTCTTTTTCTTCCCAACTGGCATTTTGAGTTTTTCTTTCCATAATCATCACCATAACTACGTAAACCATCATTTAATGGTCATCCATCATTTTTGGATGAAAACAACAGAACAGCACCCGCAGATCGCGATGGGGGTTCACATCAACCAGCTACTTTTTTTCAGGTATCCAAAGCAAATGTATCAGCGTTGATGTTTTATTTTCCGCAATGACTCGTTTAAAATGTTTGGCAATTTTATCAGCCTGAATTGGGTAAATTACTACTCTTCGCTATGAATTTCCATTTTTTACTGGGGGACTAAAGTGACTAAACATCTACAGCAGCGATTGTTTCGATCGCACCTTCCGAGAGAATTGGAAGCAAAGGCGTGTGGCCATCAGGTCTGGTTGCGCACGCAGCTCACCTCAAACGTCGGTCAGGATGGGGGATGGGGATGGGTGCGAAATCAGCAGCAAAAAAGATGGGTCTCTCTGGTTTATACATGTTTATATATGTGTATATATATATGTATATATTATAATATATATGTTTATATCTCATTAAAATATCTCCAAAATATAGTTTAAACCGGTTGACACCGGTTGAAAGTAAACAGATTTGGAAACCAGTAGCCAGGTTTCAGCTGGGATGTAAACTGACAAAAAGATAGCTGAATTCGTGAAGAAAACTCATCAAACATGGGATTTGGAACGACATGTTGGAACCGCATAACCGCCGTTTAAGTTGGTAGAGAAGGGTAGTTGAGGGCCCATCACTCAACGATTAGATTGAGCCTGCTGCTTGCCATGTCTGCCGATTCCCATAGAAAGCGCAGGAAGGTGATGGCGACTGGCTAAGTCAGTTGTAGGTACATACCCCTGTGATACATACATATATGTATATATATATATATGTATGTGCGTATATATATATATATATAGATAGATAGATAGATAGGTAGATAGATAGGTAGATAGATAGATAGATAGTGATATGTGGTTTGCTGCTAAGGCGTTAAAGTCTTCGTGCTTTTTTGTTGGGGCAACGATGGTCACGTCGGGTAACTTTCGGCAGCGTCATGTCAATGACTTCTCCACTATCCTAATTCCCGCTCCCTGGCAACTAATGCCAGTTGGAAATTGGATCAAGGTTTTTGTTTCAGTGTGACCTGTGACTACTTTCAGTTTGTTAATTTCAGCTATAAATGAGGTGGCTGATCTACTTATAACTGCAGCAAAGGCCCTTATTAGCCCCGTTTGGGTCCTGACATACCCCTCATTTGCTAATCTCCAACATTTTGGTGAACCTCCATGGAGCTTTCCAATCAGCACCCAGTCCAGTCGTCATGGACCATTGGTAAACGGTGACGAGGGATCTCCTATGACTTCAGAATACAGAGTACTTAAGACACCAAATAAGTGGTGGGATGTGGTGGGGGTGTTGCCGACGTGCCGAAAACGTGGGAAAGCTTCGCTAAGTCGCGAGTGTCGTGGGCGAAGTTGCAATTGGAACCTCGGTCGTGGCAATGATGCGCCAGTCGAAGATCTTTTTGGGATTTTCAAAAAACAATTGGTGAACGGTTGCTGGAAATGGCACTTTTATTGGACCATCCTTTCAACATAGGGACATTTGCTTCTTAGATCCAACAATTGAAGAGAACATTTGTTGTAAGCACAGAGTTTCTCTCCAAATGGGTAAAGTTTATTGTTTGTTATATAAATGGTTCTTGTTTTTGACACAAGTTGGATAATTTTTTCGAAGCCAAACACAGGACCAACGCTACCCGCGTTTCCCTTGTCCATCCTGTTGGTCCTGGAGACGCCGGTAGCCGTGGTGAAAAAATCGAAATGCGGATCTCATCGAATGGCGTTAAAACAACAATAAACCACCCATGACTGGGAATGGTAAACATACCACCTATAAAAATGGTGATGACTGGGGAATGGTTGATGGCGTTGTTTTAATCACATTACAAAGAGTTTCATTGGGAACATCTGTGCAACACGTTTTTTTCTCCATTACAACGCCCACCTGTCACCTGTCAAGCGACCCATGTTGCAGCGGTTGTTGTTCCAGTACTTGCACAGGCGTGTGAACCTGACGCATGCCCAAGTAGTCTTGTGAAGCAAAGTCAGCTTGGGGGAATTCACGGGAGTGGTTGAAGCTGTAGCTGTACTTTGTTTGTGAAGATGTACGGTGAAATGCTATTTAAATTCGACAGTTTAAGAACTGCAAAAACTGGGGATGTGAACCGCATAGTATGACTATGTAGGTTTCTACTTATTGCAGGCCGATCCTGGGGGTGTACTGTGTTTCAAACACAGCAAAATGTTCACAGTCCACCGCGTGGGGCATCTGGTTATCCGTGAATGTCACTAAGGTCATACTAAGTCCATAACCAGATCATAACCAGATGAACATCTCAATTCTTCCATTCTTTTTCACGTTCCCATCATGCGTTCCCATTTCATCCATGCTTTCCGGGTTGTATTTGGAGGATCGCCCCATTGGATCATCACTGGCTCCGGCCAGGTTTCCCATTCGTTCCGGGCCATACGTAGCTGGGCAAGCCAACTATGAACGAGTTACCACTTTGAACTAGGGTTTATATAGTTTATATCCCCATTAAAAAAATCACCCTTCATTGGTTAAAATCACAATCGGTGAAATATTTTGGTTGATGTAAGCCAAGGATCCCACTTTGCTGGTTACCATCTGGTTATTTAACATAGCCATGGAAAATCACCATTTTAAATAGGTAAACACAGGTAAACCATCTATATAAATGGGCCATTTTCCATGGCTATGTTAAATAACCAGAGGGTAGTGTGAAATAGCAATTTACCACTTACACAAAACTTCCTGCGCTGATTCTCCAAATCCAGCCATAACCGAAACAATGACCAAACAATGCATGACCGAAACATCATACTTCCCAAACTTTCATTGGCAGATTTGTATATCCATCTATACATATATAAATGCATCCCAGTTTTCCCATGAATAGTATCAGAGCCCCCAGTTACATTGGATTATACCCATCAATTTATATCCCGATATCATATGTATTTACATCAATCTCAACAATATATATATATACATTATATAAATTATATATATAAATATAAATCGAAATATGAGTATAAATACATCTATGAAGCTATATACATATATAGATATATCTATTACACCGTGTCACATGGGAGTATCCCCGGTGCGATTTCGCCTCAAGTTCTCCGTCTGCTGCAGGTCCTTTACTTGCTGCACTTGAGCCATGATCTTGAAGCCTTGGTCTTAGTCGACCGGGGTATATATATATACATATTGATATGATATGATATGAAAAACTAATGATATATCTATATATATATATATTGTTGATGTATGATATATGAAATTTTTTTGATGTAACTTATGTAACTATGATATATATATATAGATAGATAGATAGATAGATAGATAGCTAGCTAGATAGATGGATGGATGGATAGATGGATAGATGGATAGATGGATAGACAGATAGATAGATAGATAGATTGATAGATAGACAGATAGATTCTATAGATATGCTTTTTTGTTAGTGTTGCAATCAGCTGTCATTATAGCATATCATATCATTGTTAAAATTGCCACGGCGCAGTTTCTCCATTTTGGGACACGGGGATTTCCCAGCCCATGTTTGCTTATCCAGTATATATAGCCATTATGGCATCAGTATGTATACTCATTATAAATCTCAATCATTACATCCCAATATGTTCATGATTCATGGTTGCACAATGAACCAGGGTCAACCGGTTACTGCTCAGTTGTCACTCGTTTGCCCATCATCTGCTGCTGGTCAATCGCACTGTCAGCTTAGATTGCGCAGCAAGGGTCAATCTGTCTGGTTCAATAATAACAATAAATATAATTCACAATCCGATAGCAACAGTAACATTATCACTCAGGAAATACTATAAAGAATGCATTTTTTGAAATGGTAGTAATAACGCTATCCAACAATAATCAAATGAGGGGTTGATATTTGATTCAGAATAGCTAATCGTTTCTCTTCCCACCCCTTCTTCCTCCAAGGCGCAACAAAAATCGACCGCGATTTGTTGGTCTTTTGGTTCGCGTCCCGTACGGCTTGAGCGAAACGAACTGCAACCGGACGGGAGAAGCTTAGTAACTGCAACCAGTTTTTGGGGGTTTCACATGGCACTTTTTTTCCTGATTCATCCCCATTGTCCGCGGATTAGAATGGATTAGACTCCATCTGGTTGGTGGTGCAATAACCATCTTGAAAAATATGAGTTCGTCAGTGGAAAGGATTATCCCATATATTATGGAAAATAACGCATGTTTGAAACCACCAACCAGCCATGTATGGAATCAGTATGGACCTTTTCATCATCCGTTCGACTTCCCGCTTGATCACAACTGGAACTCTGAACTTTTTACAGGCTGATTTGAGGTTTCAGGTCACACTTGTCATACTACAACGGAACAGTCATGGGCCAGCAGTGGTTCTAACAGTATCTCAATTTCAGGTGGAAAGTGGAACTACCAGTTCACCAGGGTTTTGGTTTTTGCTCGGGTTTTGATACGTTGTTGTTGGTGACTTAGCATTCCCAGTTGCCCTGTGAGTCATCCAAGATTTCCCGGCTTAGTTATGGTAGATAACCATTGGTCCTCCACAATTTCTGCATTAAACTTCTATTTCGCGCGGGTAAACCTCCATTTTCACAAGCCATTGCCAGTCAGTTTGCCCATCACTTGTTATATCCCACATTTCTTGCTATCATGATTCTTCAAGCTGCCCCTCACACCACCATTTCCAGTGTCCTGGACCTCTGAGATATGACTGTTTCACATCTTGGATCATCTCAGTTGCTACATCCGGAGGATGATGGGCTGAACCGATGAATTTGATGGTAAGCAATCAGTTTCCGATCAAACTTTTCGCCCCTAAATCAATTCATTCAGACAAGTTTCCCCATTTTTTCTTATAGATCATGCATGGATACTTCGATTTTCCCATTTTTGGTGCTTACCTTCGCTGCCAGCTGAGGCTTCCAACGGCGGTCCGATGTCACAGGCGAACTCGACTACATCAATGAGAATGTATAAGTATAAATGTGTACATGTCTATGATTTAGAACCATACCTACATGTATTCATACATATACATATTATATACATATTTTTAGAACCATGTATTATTAAATTAGTAGATCTGACGCGACGTATGGCTTGTCGTCCCTTGAGCCCAGGAAACGACCCATGTTTTTCCGGACAAAATGCCACTCCTTTAGAATTAACGTTTATACGTTTATACATATATACATATATACACAAATATATATATATATATGTAAATATATATATATATACACATAGGTATCACCATGAAAATTGATGGCAGAATGAGTTCTAGTATCCCAGTCCGGTTGAGTAGCATCTCAAGTTGGGAATGTGTCAGTGGAAATCTGAATTCAGCTCCTTCAACCGATTGGTGGCTCAACTTGCTTCGATTTAAGTGGCTCAGGACACACCAGTGGTTTATCATGTGGCTTTACTCATCTAACAAACTAGACGACGGATGGCCCGAGAGCGTAGAGGAGCAGAGTCTTCTGTTGCTAGTATGGACACATTATATTACAAGACAATATTTTAAAGATGTATTATAGGCAGACGAGAAGAGTACTATCAAGACAATATATTACAAATACAAGACAATAGTTTGCATCGTATCTTTCGTAAAGTTTATCACACAGAACTTTTTACAGACAGACGCTTTTGCACACAGAGACTTTTGCACAAAGAGGCTTTTACACACAGAGGCTTTTACACACAGACGCTTTTACACACAGAGGCTTTTACACACCAGAGGCTTTTACACACAGACGTTTTTACACACAGACGCTTTTACACACAGAGGCTTTTACACACAGACGCTTTACACACAGACGCTTTTACACGCAGACGCTTTTACACACAGACCCTTTTACACACAGACGCTCGCACACACAGACGCTTTTACACCGCAGACACTTTTGAACACAGATGGTTTCACACACAGACTCTTTTACACGCAGACGCTTTTACACGCAGACGCTTATACACACAGACACTTTTGAACACAGATGGTTTCAACACACAAACTCTTTTACACGCAGACGCTTTTACACGCAGACGCTTTTACACACAAACGCTCGTACACACAAACGCTTTTACACCACAGGCGCTTTTACACCACAAACGCTTTTACACACAGACAGTTTTACACACAGACGCTTTTACACACAGACGCTTTTACACACAGCCGCTTTTACACACAGACGCTTTTTACACACAGACAGTTTTACACACAGACGCTTTTACACACAGAAGCCTTTACACACAGACGCTTTTACACACAGAGGCTTTTACAGAAACTTTTAAACACAGAAACTTTTACACACAGAGGCTTTTACACGCAGACGCTTTGACACACAGAGGCTTTTACACGCAGACGCTTTTACACACAGACGCTTTTACACACAGAAGCTTTTACACACACAAAGCTTTTACACACAGACGCTTTTACACACAGATGCGTTTACATACAGCTTTTCCATACTTCGCCGGATAACATGAAATTCGCAATTTTACCCGAGTTTTCGGCGATCGAACTTCGTTTCCTGCGAAAGGGTCGCGCGGGACAAGTTGAAATTGCAATTTTACCTCAGTTTTTGCCGGTCGAACCTCATTTCGTGCGAAAGGGTTTGCGACGGACAAGTTGGAATCGCAATTTTACCGCAGTTTTTGACGATCGAACCTCATTTCGTGCGAAAGGGTGCGCGGGACACCTTGCAAATCGCAATTATACCTCAGTTTTTGACGATCGAAGCTCGTTTCGTGCGAAAGGGTTGCGCCGGACAAGTTGGAATCGCAATTTTACCTCAGTTTTTGGCGATCGAACCTCATTTCGTGCGAAAGGGTTGTGCGGGACGGCTTGCAAATCACAATTTTACCTCAGTTTTTGGCGATCGAAGCTCGTTTCGTGCGAAAGGGTTGCGTTTCGTGCCGTCTTGTTGGCACTGCCCCTGCCCCCGCCTTCAGAAGAGAAATAGAAAAGAAGGAGAGGGCAAGAGGGCAAGAGGAGAAGATGTGAAGATGTGAGGGCAAGAGGGCAAGAGGGCAAGAGGGCAAGAGGGCAAGAAGGCAAGAAGGCAAGAGGAGAAGATGTGAAGATGTGAGGATGTGAAGATGTGAAGATGTGAGGATGAGAAGATGTGAAGATGTGAAGATGTGAAGATGAGCAGATGTGAAGATGAGAAGATGTGAAGATGTGAAGATGTGGATGAGAAGATGTGAAGATGAGAAGATGTGAATTTGTGAAGATGATGAGAAAATGTGAAGATGAGAAGATGTGAAGATGAGAAGGTGCGAGGATGAGAACATGTGAAGATGAGAAGATGTGAAGATGAGAAGATGTGAAGATGAGAAGATGAGAGACAGACCCCCACTATTGGAAGAACCCTGCGCTCAGACGCTCTCGGGAAAAACAGTGAACTATGGTGAATCTATGCGATATTCAAGGTAGGCTACCACTAAAACCAGTATGTGTACATGTAAATAATACACATGCCATCATAATTGCCTATATCATCTTCTAAACCAGAAAGATTTACATATAGATGTCGTTCTTGTCCAATGCCCTATTATGCAAATGGCTCAAAGATAGCCTCATAATTGACCTTGTAACTATGGTTATCCTAGTGGTATAATATCCAACGTTCAATATACCCTCTGATAAACTAACATAGCTATAGAAAATCACCATTTTTAATGGGTAAATCCACTATAAATGGCCATTTTCAATAGCTATGTTTGTTTACCAGAGGGTAGTTATTCTACTGTATATTTCCTTACCTAAGGTTATCTACGAATGACACTATCTTGTAAATGTTTAAGTCTATCCTTCATGGACTGATGTTAGAGTGTGGGATATTCTCACGTATTCCTATTTTTAGGTGTTTTTTTCACAAGATTTCAATATATATATGTTTTCCTTGCGAGTTGTAGATTATGAATATAGTATTGTTATACCATTGTGATACTATTGTCATACTATATATACAATGTTTATAGATATCCATTTATCATCCACTAACAATCTCCTATTCATTGGCCATTGGTAAACTCAATAACAAGCCATGTATAAACCATAGTAAGTTATAGACACTATGTACCATTGTTATCCCAGTGAGTTAAAGATATGTACTATCATAGATATACTATTATGCACATATATACCAGTGATTATTATATATTATATCGTTATCCCAGTTAGTATTCTTCAATGTTCATAGATATCAATCCCACTGGGCCGCATGCCTCGACCCTTGTCAAGCCCTTGGCGCTGTACTGCTCCAAGGACACCTGGAAAGTGATGGGCGACGAGGACTTAACCAATGATGGCAGGCCGATGACCACCGTGATTTCTGGATTTTTCACCCAGAAACACATATGAATGTCCCACGATTTCAGCAATGAACATGGGGCATCGTTCGAATATTTCAGGCTAGGCTGTCACAAAATCAGGATGATCATTCACTCCAAGACCTGGGGCGAAAAAACACATTTTTTTGGGGACAAACACATAAATAATCATTCAATGACCATCCATTCATGGTTTATTAAGTTTTTTTAACCATCATTGAATGTTTATAATCAGGGTTAATGAGATTTTTTTCAGACCATGATTTAATGTTTATAATCAGGGTTAATGATATTTTCAGGAGATTCTCGTCGAATGACGCTGCCAAGTTCTCAGTCTTCCTGCCGATCTTGGGCCCCCTTGCTTGGTCCATGTGATGGACCTCACCAGGATCAGACAATCCAAATTTGAACCAGGGATTTTCCAAGATTTATGGCATATATGGTAGCGACCAATTTTTCAACGTCCAAGTTTTCCAGATTTCTATGATCCACGAGATGGGTCTCCGAAATCTGATCCACATACGTGTATATATATATATATAATAGATTTATGGACCCATGTCCTTGGTGGCAAGGTCTTTTTATCAACGTCTGAGTTTCGCTTGTCGCAACTTTCACTTCATTGACCACTTGGAATATGATTTCGATTCTCCATATGGAATCCCCTGACGAAATTAGAAGAATTCTCCGACCTAAAAAACAATGCTGCCATGGTTGGGATGATAAAACACCGGAAAGATAACATGATTCATAGCGAGGTCAAAAAGGGAGGTTATGCCAAAATTCTGCCCAGATCCAATTACTTGAAATTAAAAAACACAATAGTGAGTTCTACATATAAAATTAGCACCATTTTGCTTGGCTTTGATCCTTTGAGGTTTACTTTGTGAGAAATATCCAGATCACTCAGATATGTCACACATATGTCACACCGTTACGAGTTGGTTGACCCCATCTATCTACTCCGATTTATTCACCAAAAATCCAAATATAAATCCAACAGTTAGCCTAGTGATAAACCACCTTATCAATCTAGGGCCCCTTCAGTTGTGCAATTGTCATTAGAATATGTTTCAAGTAGTAATCATTAGGATTTTTTCCCAGAATTCTAGAAATCATACCACACTTTCTCATATTTATCTACGGATGTTTTCCCAAAGTATTACTCCAGTTTGTGCCCCCATCGGGGCTATGGACTTCGCGGCGCTGGTTTGGTGATTTTCCATCAGGAATCCCATCGATTGGCGCAATGAAACAGCCCCCCATTCTATGGTCCCAGTCATATACCCTCTGGTAAACAAACAAAAAGCTATTGAACATGGCCGTAGAAATAGTGGATTTACATGGATTTACCCATTAATAGCATGGTGATTTTCCATAGTTATGTAAACGTTGACCAGAGGGTATCTGGATAAATTATGACTGGTTGGTGGTATACCTACCCCTCTGAAAAATATGAAAGTCAGTTGGGATGATTATTCCCAATATATGGAAGGTCATAAAATTCATGTTCCAAACCACCAAGCAGTTATAGTAATTCCCAAGATCAAAACTAGGCGATTGTGGGATGATTTTCCATACAAAACTTATTCCACTCATATGAGGTTTCCAATCCATGGATGATCATGATGATCATGTACTACTGGTTGGTGGTATACCTACCCCTCTGAAAAATATGAAAGTCAGTTGGGATTTCTACTCCCAATATATGGAAAAATACAAAATGTTTGAAACCACCAACCAGACCAGTATTGCAACAACCATGTTGACTTGGGTATTGGGTATCCCCCATGACCATTGAAACTCCCATATTATCAGGACAACCTATGCCATTTTACTATATACATCTGGATATGGCTTTGAAATCAGCCTTAAGATAATTAACGCGATTGTGGGACGATTTCCTTTACCATTTAGTCATATGTGGATGGGTCAAAACCTATTATCACTGTATTTGGGGGAATAGTTATCCATTAAATATACCAAATATGGTAGCCTATATTTATTAAATGGATGGTTATTCCCCCAAATAGATAAAATATAACCATATATCATATATCATATAACATCACCACCCATAATAATCGTTTTTTTTTTCAAAATTATTTTTTTCGTTTTTAGTGGATCATATGGTATTCCAATGTATTCCATAGGAATACCCTCTGATAAGCGTTTACATAACTATGGAAAATCACCATGCTATTCATGGGTAAATCAACTATTTCTATGGCCATTTTCAATAGCTTCTTGTTTGTTTACCAGAGGGTATATGACTGGGACTTTTTATCATGGGGGGCCTATGTTTAATGGATGGTTATTCCGCCAAATATAGTGATAACATGGTATTCCATAGCAATATCTCTACAGGGTACAATGTGGGGCCCCCAAGATAGCTAAGTTGGGTTATAACTCCAATAACTATGGTTTATGGTACTTATAACTATAGTTAATGGGGTTTGTAACCAACTCAAAACCGGGGGGCCCCACATGGAACCATCCTGGTAGGGTTTTGACCACCGGTGACCCATCTGGGGGGTTGGACCACTGACAGCAGCAGCATCACGTCGCAGAGATAGCTCTGCTTCGCCGCAAGGCTGGCGACCTGGCAAGGCCACCGAAAAGGCCTGGTGTTCCATGGGAAAAACATCGGATTTTGATGGCTTTTGTTGTGGAAAAACCATGAAAAACTCATAAAAAATGGAAAAACAGGAAAAACTCCTGGGTCACCGATTTTTTTTACTGAAGCACATCTGATTTATGTTTTTATAATGGGAATTTCATGGGTTTTCCTATGGAACACTGAGGATTTTTGGGGGTTACCCATCTGATCTGACTCAAGGCAGTGTGTTGTTCTGAATGGGAAACTCAGTGGTTTTCTATCAAGAAACATTCATAGCTGGTTGGTGGTTTTAACCGTCTTGAAAAACATTAGTCAATGGGAAGGATTATCCCATATATTATAGAAAATAAAACATGTTTGAAACCACCAACCAGATAACATAGAACATGCGAAAACGGTTTTTCAGAAGAAATTATGCATTTCATCTAATTTCAAGGTTTGAAAATGGAGTTTGTTTGTTCTTTTGGAGTTTGGTGGGCACATGATTTCCTGTATATGGATGTAACCAGATTGAAACTTGTACAAACATGGAGAATAACCTGAGAACACACTTTTTAAAGAACCCCATAGAAACTCGTTGAAATAAACAACATGTGTGGAACTTCAAATGAATGGTAATCTAACCAGCCCCGGAGTATCATATCTTGAGCCAAACGTGGTAGTGTTAAATGGTAGTTCAATGGTAGTTTGGCCTTGATTTCTATATGGGTTTCTCCGAAAATACGAAAATAGGATAGCACCAAATCTTCTGGTTCATCATTTTCCCAATATTGACTATTGTGTGTGGACCCTTCCAGCGTCCTGATCTGATTTAAATCGTTCATGGGTATTTGATGAAATTCAAAACTACAAGCGACAACCAATCGTAAATGGCTACTGATCCAAAGCCAAATCAATTTCTCTGAGAATACGGCTGATGAATTGGGGAGAATTGGGATCATCTCTGATGGGACAACCACCATGAAACAGCCCATGTCGCAACAAACATGACATCAGCGTTGCGGTTCAACCCCTGCCTTGTCAAAATCCCACACTTCTGGTGCCACCAGGCAATTTCGGAGATTCCTTGGTGGCTGGGACACAATTTTTTTGACTTGATGTAGTCATTTGGGATCATCATCCAGTTTGGGTGGACAATAAAACATAATATGACCAGAGGTTTCTTTCTATCAGAGGTTTTGTTGATATGTCAAACACCAACCAGAGCTTTGAGGTTTCTATCCCCAACTGGATTGAGTTCCCAGTTCATTGAGCCCATCCCTCGGGCGCCCGTTGAAAACGGGCCTCCCCAGTAATGCCTTGTCAAACGAACATGTGTATATATCTATAGTATCTATACCTATGTTTACATATCTCTCCATCTCTCTCTTGGCTAAGTTAGCATATATGTGTGTGTATATATATATATTATACATAAACATAGATATTCGTCCATGAAACGGCCGAAACCATGCAGTTTCCTTCCATCGTGCTGGGCGGCCCGGACAGCCGCTGAATCCAGCGGAGGTGTGTTTGGATGCCTTCGCTCGCGATGATTTTCTCCTAGGATAGGGGGGTTCACCACAGGAGAATTCAGGGCGCCGACCCTTGTTTGAAAACGACCAAAAACTATGATTTAATAAACAACAATGGTGATCTAACCAGCCAAAATGGCGATTTAATGGTGATTTCCATGGGATTTTGATGGTGCTTTAACCAACATCTGAGGACTGTTCGGATTCAACCAACATGTCGATTTAAGCATCAGGAAATCTACTGATTTCAACCATCCAAGATTCCGATTTGATGAAAATTACCTCGGGTATTTCCATATGTTTCCATATATTTCCAAATTTTCCATCTATTTTGGGGCTGCTGTAGTGACTTGAGGAAGTTGTAGGCGCCAGAACCCCCCAGTGAGACTATAGCAACCCCCAACTAGAAAAGTAGCTATCATCACAGCAACATTTTTTGAACACACAGATGTGCATATCATTTTCTGGGACCCGCCTATCTCAGGTGAAACCACCCGGGATCTTTAGGTCTTCACAAGGTGGTACGACATTGCAGCTGGCTCCTGAGAGCCATCCACACCAATGGTGCCATTGCCGATGCCGACCTGCGGAATCGCTTTGGAAGTCTTTGGAGGTACCAATTCTGCCAAGAAAACGGGTTGAGACGGTGGATATTTGGTGTGGAGGTTATATGCGATCTTTATCATGTTACACAGGCACCAAGCAATTCTGATCACTTCCATCCTGAGCGATCTTATTAATTCAACTTATGTAAATGATCCTGGGAACGGTGTCTAGGTGCCAACAGCAAAGGATGAGAAGTGTCATCAAGGTTGTTTCCCAAATGCCCTGCAAAAAATGTACGCTTCAGCATGATGGAAAACTTTTCTCCAGTCATATCCAAAGATTGACCCATTGACCTAACCATTGACCAGTCGTCTCAACCATTCACCATAATCTTTCGATCATTTCGGTGTTTGCTGAAACATGGTGTCCTGGAACGTCAGATTTCTATCAGACATGAACTCCGTGAAGCATGGCAACTGTGCAGGGCTCCTGTTGAGCATTGCCATTGAACTGCTCGGCAAATTGGGGTGGGGCAGGCCCCCTCGACCCCAGACGGTGGGCCCCGACCCCAGGGGCAGGCGCCTTCGATCCCAGGCTGTTGGCAGGCGGCCTCGACCCCAGGCGGTGAGGCCGCTCAAATCCAGACGGTTGTGGGAGGTGGTGCGGCATGGCCGCTCAAGTCCCCTGGCCAACAACATTTTTCCTCTTGTCGGTCTGTTAATTGAAGTACCCGTCTACCCCGTCTCCATGAACCTCAGGCGGCGCCGCAGTGTAAGGGCCACATGCAGTGATGTGCTCTGGGCACATGGCTTCGACCCCGCAGTGAAGGCTGTCAGTGGGAGGGCGTCGACACCACGGTACAGTCGGATTCTTCCAGCCGCGTTCGGGCGGCAAGTCCAGGCGGCGGTGTGGCAGGCGGCCTCGACCCCGAGGTGGTGGTGTGGCACAAAGGTGAAATAGAGGCAACCTTTTTGCAAAACATCCACCAGGCCAAATCGAACTGGCCAAGTTGTTGCTGCCCTATTGTGATCGGAAAATCGCAAGTCTTGTTGTAAAACCAACAGTTTTTGGTGAACCGCTCAGCTTCATCAAAGCAGTTTGTGAGCGATATTTAAACGGTTTCTTACCCAACCATTCACAAAGGTGCCTGCCCAATACGCAAGCAAATGTTCTTGGTCATTCTCTCAAATTCTTGAGGGTATGCCCCACAAAAAAACGAGAAACATTTAACCACAAACACCTAACCCCTCAACTTCAACGATTGATTCAGCTGCCAAAATCTGTTGGCAAAATAGATGAAATAGTGGGTAAACCAACCGCCGTCATCAAAATCCCATGTTCCCACGCCAGGCAGGTCCACCCGGCAGGTATTGATTGTCTCACCATGTAAGTTGGTTACAGTCACAATATATTCCCAATACATCCCACTAATGTTGGATGCTTTTGGATTGGAAAACAATGTTCTTTACAATGGATAGGTGCTCTATTAAAATAGCAGCTGTTGTTTAACCGGGGCTGCCAATCTCTTGGCAAACATATTGCCAAATCACTAAATTGATCATTAAATATCCCATTCCCATGAAACAAAAACATATATAACTATCCCATTAGATATCCAGGAATCTGCAAAACTATGCGCATATTTGACGGGCTATTTCACAGGATGCAGAAAACTATCAGCAAATTACATGCCAATTTTGGGCTATTTCCCAAGTACGGGTAACTATGACATATCATTCAGCATACCAAAAATTAGATGGTTGATGCACAAACAATATTTTACTTCGAGTGATCCCCATCATGGCATTTCAAAGCATTCCGTGCTCTAGTTGCCAAGCGACATCAGCAAGAAGGCAACCTGATATATGCAATATCTTATGACATTATTCCTGGCATATGTATCTGGCAAATCTTCTGACATTCTTTCTGGCATTCTATCTGGCATATCTTCGGAGATTCTTTGTGGTCGAGGTCCGGCGGGGAACGCTCTGATCCGGAGCTCGCGGTTGAGGTCCGGCGGGGAACACTTTGATCCGGAGCTTGCGGTGGAGGTCCGGCGGGGAACACTCTGATCTTGAGCTTGCGGTGGGGGTCCGGCGGGGAACACTTTGATCCGGAGCTTGCGGCGGAGGGGTCCGGCGGAGGAAGGAGGAGGAAGGCGGGCCAGCTGACATAAAATCTAACAGCCCTCACCTGCTTCTTAAATGGCTCATCCATACCCAAATATTACCCAATCAGTCAGTGCCTTTTTCCAGGTTATCGCCCTAAAAGATTTCACAGAAAATTGGAACCGCGCACACGCACCATCGAACATGCCATGAAATTCCTCTTCACCATGATCAACTATCCTTTAAAAAGTTATGCCTCCCCCCAAGTAGCACTAAATAGCAAGGTTTGAGGGAAAATGCCATTCTGAATACCACTACAAGAGAAAAAAATAGACCAATCAATATAGCACTAAATACAAGTAAAATACCATTGAAATCTACCACGAAGACCAAGTCCCGAAGTTTTTCCCAGTTTTTTTCGCCCGAAAAACCATCGGACAAGTCGCAGATCCCTCAACTCCCAGGATCATTGCTGCGGGGTAGGCCACAGCAGCCTGGGCCGATTTTACCCCAAAAAGGGAGAACACCCTAACTTATGACCATGAAACAGCGGGATTTCACCAAATTCGATCTTTTACGGGGTTACTGTGTGTATATGTATTTGCATATGTCTTTCTATTTGTATTTGTATATGTAAGTGTATACGTACATGTACATGTATATGTATATGTATTGAGATCTTAGAAATGTGTGTGCACTATACATACAAACATACACTAATAGGTATATATATATGTATACACTAATAGGTATACACATAAACCAAAACCTGTGCAAATCGCCGAGCCTAAGCGGATTAGCACTTTCATTGGTCTGCGTTCCATCCCTAGTGAATTCTTCTTCCCAAAGGCTCCAAGCTCTCTCCGGTCCTTTTGATTACTCGTACTTTGCATCGTAGGGCAGGTTTCTGTCTGAGTTAAAGAAATACAATACAATAATGCGTGTATGTATATATATATAGATAGATAGATATGTATATGTACGTATATATATATATTTAAATGCATACATATATGTATATGAATATATATATAAATGTATATATATATGTATGTATGTATATATATATGTATGTATGTATATATGTATGTATATATGTATGTATATATATGTATATATAGGTATGTTTGTATATGTATGTATATATAGGTATGTTTGTATATGTATGTAAATATGTATGTATATATATGTTTGTATATATATATGTTTGTAAATATATATATATATATAAATGTATATGTATATGTATATATAAATGTATGTATGTATATATATATATGTGAATATATGTATATATAGATGTGTATATAGATATATGTATAGATATGTATATATATATATGTATATATATATGTAGATACACATTGATTTACATGGGAAATATTGATTCTACATGTATGTCTGTAGAGATTAGAGAGAGTAGAGACAGCAGAGAGAGCAGAAAGAGTAGAGAGTAGGAGTAGGAATAGAGTAAAGTAGAACAGAGTAGAGTAGAATGAGGTAGAGTAGAGTAGAATGGGGTAGAATAGAACAGCATAGAGCAGAGTAGAGCAAAGTAGCTCAAGGCTCCGCCTTCCAGCCGCCTTGACGTCCAGTCCAGGTAGGCGCCTCCAACCCTCCATGAACCCGGCCATCGGTGATCGGCGAAGGCCTGTGGCTATCCGCGTCCACTGCAGACCTCATCCATTTCCTTTTCCATGGCTTCGCATGATATGGTTGGGTTTTGCCACACCTTCTCCCACGGTAAGTCTATTCTCTGCGAGCAACAACAACAAGTTGCACCTTTTTTGGCCCTGGGAAAGGGCTGGTCACCATAGCATCCCTTTCGTCTGCCACCACAATCCGAAGCTATGACAGTAATGAGCAGGAATAGTTGCCTCAAATTCACCATCATGAATCAAACTAAGTTGATAGGCGCCATTGGCAAATTTGAATTCAAAATAACGACCTAGACCATAATCAGGGTCAGGTCCGTATCAAGTATCGATACAGAGAAACTGATTCCAAGAGTCTGGCATTGGGGTATGCTCCAAGAGTCTGTTGGGCCTATCTTTGGCAACTCTGTCCTATCACCAATGGCCAACTTGAGTCAAAAGGTTGGCAAAGCCTCCCAGTCCATCGCAATGACCTTTCGGTACCCTGAAGATTTCTTGGTTTAAAGCTGGGTAACTCAGTATACCCCATCAGGATGGCAAGCTATGTTCAAAATTACCACTAGCATATTCAACCCTACTTTGGCATCATTGAATCAGTTTAGTCCCGAATTTTGTGGTTAAAAAACAATTTTCGAAAGTTAAATCACGAATGTTTTGCTGCTCAAGTCCTATTTTCCAAGCCAGTTTTCCCGGTGAAATCCACATTTTTCAAGGCCAAATTTGTTCACCAACGCGTTTTCTCCCCGTCCTGCAAGCTAAAGAATCCCGCGCAACTTCCCATGTCCAGCATGGTGAACGCCTCCTGGGAGGATCATCCCAGCGAATTCAATGGGGTTTTCAACATTTTTCAATGGTAAAACTATCTCTGACTGAATGGATCTATGATTTATAAGATGGTAAAACTATAAATCAGCCATGAATCTTGGAAGCTGCTGGTTGATCAAAGCCAATCGGTGCAGCCACAGCCTTCATGCAACGATTAAAGGTCAGTGATACCGCTTGACATCCATCTTCTGTAGGCATAGATCAGCAATGTAGTCCGATCAAATATGGAGCCAGGATACTGACCTCACCGTGGTATTGTTTTGCGAGCCCCCAGAAACACCCACGCTTTTTCGTTTGAACAATTTTATCAGATTCAAACCCAAAGACTAACAGTTTTGCATTGACCTCAGTTCCCTCAGTTCAGAGCAAGTTCACCCAACATCAGGAAGAAAATGGCTAGTGGGGGAGGTCTGACGGAAAGATGGTCCTGGTGAGGTCATCAAATTCAGATACCCGGCCTGGTAAACGTTAACAAAAAACTATGGAAAATCACCATGCTATTAATGGGTAAATCCACTATTTCTATGGCCATTTTCAATAGCTATGTTAGTTTACCAGAGGGTATTTCATATCTTAGTGAATCTTAGCGGCATCCCGATCAGTGCTGAACTTTATCCTTCCCCACAATCTACCGAGAGGTGCATGCCTGGAATGCACATCCACAGTAAATATCAGAAATGATGGGTGATATCCCCATGCATGATAATATTGCTACTTACACAAAATGTCCGGTAAATCTATCCTTACAAAGTGGGGCCCCCAAACGATCGCTTAGTTGGTGAACATAACCCCAATAACCATGGTTTATGATACTAATGACTGTAGTCAATGTGGGCAACCCAAACATACACCTACCATTTGGGGATGGTTTATAAATTAAACCACCAAAGAAATGGTAATGGCTTGGGGATGGTTTATAGTTTATACCACTGACCACCCATAAACATGATGATGACTTGGGGATGTCTTATCATTGGGTTACCACACTACAATGGGAATATCACTGGAATGTTGGGTTTACAAACCAAAGTTCACATCACCATTGGTTGTGGTTCATGATACAAATAACTGGGTTAATAGACTTTATGATCCTAAGAACATACTCCAATAGCTATGGTTCATGAGACTGCTAACTATGATACTCATTTTGCTTATAAACCAACTGTATAGATCAACCAAGTATGATACCAATAAATCTAATTATAGTTAACTATGATAACTAATAACTATAACGCGGCTAACACATTTTCATGAACCATCTCCCAGTCATCACAATCTTTATAGGTGGTATGTTTACCATTCCCAATCATGGGTGGTTTATTGTTTTACCCACATTATTCCAATGATATTCCAATCATATTCCCATTCTATCGTGGAATAATAAAACTAACTATAGTCAATTATGGTAACCAAGGACTAATAACCATAAAACCAACTATAGGTAATAGTGGTAACCAATTCAAATGGTACCCAATGACTAACAACTGTAATCTTCATGGGGTTAACGAACCGTTCACATCACCTGACCGATCCTCCCCGAATATTTTGTGAAGCTCATCATCGACGGCCGCCCAGCCTTAGGGACGACGTTTCAAGCCATAAAAATGCCATAATTACAGTCCGAAATACCAGCTATAAATGGTAAACTAATGGGTTATGTGACTCAATTGGGGATGTAAATGGTGAAGCAATGGGTTATGTGGCTCAATTGGGGATGTAAATGGTGAACCAATGGGTTATGTGGCTCAATTGGGGGTGTAAGTGGTAAACTAATGGGTTATGTGGCTCAATTGGGGATGTAAATGGAAAACTAACGGGTTATGTGACTCAATTGGTGGTGTAAATGGTAAACTAATGGGTTATGTGACTCAATTGGGGATGTAAATGGCAAACTAATGGGTTATGTGGCTCAATTGGGGAAGGAAATGGTAAACAAATGGGTTATGACTCAATTGGGGATGTAAATGGTAAACTAATGGGTTATGACTCAATTGGGGATGTAAATGGCAAACTAATGGGTTATGTGGCTCAATTGGGGAAGGAAATGGTAAACAAATGGGTTATGACTCAATTGGGGATGTAAATGGCAAACTAATGGGTTATGACTCAATTGGGGATGTAAATGGCAAACTAATGGGTTATGTGACTCAATTGGGGATGTAAATGGTGAAGCAATGGGTTATGTGGCTCAATTGGGGATGTAAATGGCAAACTAATGGGTTATGTGGCTCAATTGGGGATGTAAATGGCCAACTAATGGGTTATGTGGCTCAATTGGGGATGTAAATGGAAAACTAATGGGTTATGTGGCTCAATTGGGTGTGTAAGTGGTAAACTGATGGGTTATGTGGCTCAATTGGGGATGTAAATGGAAAACTAACGGGTTATGTGACTCAATTGGTGGTGTAAATGGTAAACTAATGGGTTATGTGACTCAATTGGGGATGTAAATGGCAAACTAATGGGTTATGTGGCTCAATTGGGGAAGGAAATGGTAAACAAATGGGTTTTGACTCAATTGGGGATGTAAATGGTAAACAAATGGGTTATGACTCAATTGGGGATGTAAATGGCAAACTAATGGGTTATGTGACTCAATTGGTGGTGTAAATGGTAAACTAATGGGTTATGTGACTCAATTGGGGATGTAAATGGCAAACTAATGGGTTATGTGGCTCAATTGGGGAAGGAAATGGTAAACAAATGGGTTATGACTCAATTGGGGATGTAAATGGAAAACAAATGGGTTATGACTCAATTGGGGATGTAAATGGCAAACTAATGGGTTATGTGGCTCAATTGGGGATGTAAATGGCCAACTAATGGGTTATGTGACTCAATTGGGGATGTAAATGGTGAACCAATGGGTTATGTGGCTCAATTGGGGATGTAAATGGTGAACCAATGGGTTATGTGGCTCAATTGGGGGTGTAAATGGTAAACTAATGGGTTATGTGGCTCAATTGGGGATGTAAATGGAAAACTAATGGGTTATGTGACTCAATTGGTGGTGTAAATGGTAAACTAATGGGTTATGTGACTCAATTGGGGATGTAAATGGCAAACTAATGGGTTATGTGACTCAATTGGGGAAGGAAATGGTAAACAAATGGGTTATGACTCAATTGGGGATGTAAATGGTAAACGAATGGGTTATGACTCAATTGGGGATGTAAATGGTAAACTAATGGGTTATGTGACCTGACAGCCGAGTTGGGCGGCTGCACACAAGCATGAACCAGCCCAATGTTCCCAAGCGAACCATCGACCGACCGACAAGGGTGGAGCGGACGTGCTTGCCAATTCCATTGTGAACACAGCATGGACACCGTCAAACGGTCCATCTCCGATCTCAAAGGACATGCGTGGGCCAGCACCCAAGAAAACAGAACCAGGCTTGTGCTGCTTTGCCAAAGCTGCAGCATCTTCGACCTTGGAGCGCAATCCCCACCGAGTACCCAAGCGAGCCAGTCCAACCATCTGTGGTTTGCACTGCTGAATGCGTAACAATTCATCATGGGGTCCGGTGCGAGGCTCAACATAAATTCCATAACGACCAGAGCACGCCAGGACTTCAATTTGCCGTGTGGCAATGCATCGGAGGTTGAGCAAAAACAAGTCAGCCTGGTCAGGCCCTACAGATTGCATGTTGGTTGCAGTGCGGGGTCAATTCCAACTGCTGAACTGCCAAGGCCTTTGTGAATGTGAGATATAGTTAATATTGTTTTCTCCAATGCGTTCATCAGCAGCAATCAAACTGGATGTGTTCATGTCTGTCCAACTGTCAATATCAACTTCTGTGTGCAACATCTTCTGCACCCATTGGTTTAGACCATCATTTTCCCTCTTAAAGCTGCACGAAATAGGGGTCACCCATTTTCAGACACACCCAAATATCATCTGCTTAGTTCATTCTTTCTCATGATTTCCCATTATAGTCCCATGTATCTGGCTGAGTTTTAGTAATTCATTGACTTGAAACTAGCTGCTATAATGCGGCCATTCTCCACAGATAAACCATTCTTCTAGTGACGGAAAATCATTAGATCATTCTAATTCCTATCGATATATTGATTCATATCCAACTATATCATCATTCATATTCCATCAATCTTCCATTAATTTCCAGAAATCTTCCATTCATCTTCCAGTCATGCCCCATATATGATTCCCTATGAATAGGTTGATGACCATCCTCCAATATGGCTAATGAACCACCAGTGATGACCATGGCTATCAATAATCACAAACCATTCTTATCCCTATACGGTCAATGGTCATATTCCATTCATATCACATAAACGTTTATAAGGTCTTTTGGACCATATTGTGATATAGATATTTTCAACATCGAAGGAAGTGTAGAAGTCAAACTCACCTCTCCTATAGTTTCCGGTCTTTGAAACTTCCGCCACCGCCTTGTGCGGTACTACTGGTATGGGATATATACCCTTGAATATTGTTGGCAATATGGTGGATAACGGGGTGTTTTACCCCTGGGGAATATGTATATATATATATACACAATATAACATATAATATAATATATATATATAATACACATAATATAATGTATATATATATAAATAAACAAATAAATAATATATATATATAAATTATAATATATATATAAAACATCTATATTATACAATAGATATATCATTTTCCCATTAGTATATCCATTGTGGTCGCGGGCCGACCCCAAAAATCGCCCAGCGACGTGACAGGAAGTGCGACCAGGGGCGCTCGATGTACCTGGCAACGAGGCGTTGGAAGGCGCGGTGGTGCCAGGGTGTAAAAAATGTGATCTACCCTCTGGTTATGTCAAAATAGCTATTGAAAATTGCCATTGATAGTGGATTTACCTATTAAAAATGGTGATTTTCCATAGTTATGTTAGTTTACCAGAGGGTAATGGAATTGAACATGGGCATTTGATATGATTTCATGGGATTTTTATCGTGGTTTTACCCTTCAAAACGATGATGAAATTCTGAAATCATGATTTAGCCATCGAACTAAAAGTTGCCAACCGGTGGTTATTTAAAACACAATTGGCTGATGTCCACAATAGTTCACCCACTATTTATCAATTTTTTGGGTTATTCTGACAACACTCCATATCAAATCAGGTGGCACAACGAAAGAATCCCTACCGCACCAATAGTTGTGCATTTTGTTGGTTAATCTTTTTCAACATCCCATGGTTTTAAGCTCCAAAAATATAGGGTTATGATAGTCTGTGGTCGTCATCCGCTCTTTTTAACACATTATTCATCCATGTATGGGTTCCAAAAATCCTCTCAACCATAGTCATTGTCATTGTTCTTATTACTGGTTGGTGGTTTTAACCATCTTGAAATATATCAAAGTCAGTTGGGACTATTATTCCCAATATATGGAAAAATGTTCCAAACCATCAGCCATCATTGTACCAATCTTCGTAGTTTTTTTCGGTTATACCCGGGTCAATTTCCGCACTCCCCGACTGGAATGACTGGAATGCGATGGGTTGATGTTCACCCATCTATACTTCATGGGATAATCTGGAAAAGATGAATTGGACGTATAGATTACTATAGATGGTTAATAAAATACCAAATTAATATATTTATCTATACTTCGTGTTTCATATCACATGAAAATCCGATTGTCCTATTCAAAAGTCACACCAATTCATGGTTAAGCTGGGCAAATTATAACAGTTGCAAAGCTGAACAGTTCGATTCCCCCGTTTGCCAAACATATGCCACTGACGTCGCGGCACGTGGCAACGGGTTCTTGGTTTCCATTCAACCAAAGAGATCCCCATGGAAAGATCCACCATTTTCGATGGGTAAATCCAGTGGGGATACCCTCTGACCCTCTGGTAAACGTTTACATGAGTATGGAAAACCACCATTTTTATCCATTGTCTATGGGTATATATACAGAAAACGATGGAAAGATCCACCATGTTTTTGGAGCATTCTCCCACGATAGACTGCGAATATCATTGGAATACCCTCTGGTAAACTAACATAACTATGGAAAGATTCACCATTTTGTAGCTGGGTAAATTCCAACTGTTTCGACTGGGTAACAATGGCTTCAATGTCGCAAACTGCAACAGTTTACCAGAGGGTATTCCATCTCTTAGGGTATTTTCTATGGCCATTTTATCTCTTTTTGTAACAGATGGGGAACACAAAAAAATAATAGGGTGGTTTTCTGTATCAACAATAGGAAAACTATGGAACATCACAATGATAGGTAAATCAACCATTTCTATGGGCCATGTTCAATAGCAAACTCTAAGAAATTACCAGAGGCTAATCCCTTCCATTGCCGAGATGATCAACTTTATCAGCTTCTAGGACTTTGGCATCCTGGAGTCAGTAATGTCGGATGCTGATTAGTGGATAGGTTCGCTATTGTGCCAAAAAATCTTCCAAATTATTCTGAACCCATGCATTGTTTGGAAGGTTCACTATTGTGGCAAGAAATCTTGGGGGGCATTTTTTTTGTTCATTTTTTTTTTGGCTTTTCTACCTGTCCCAAAAGAATCAGACCGCTTATTAAACCCTTATTAAAGAACAGTCTTTCCACAAATTTTCAAGGCAATGGGCCATGAGAGGGCCCAATTCACTTTGGTAGGTTTGTTCTCAGGGTTCGCAACTGCAGCAAACTTTTCCAGAGCTGATCCTGGAGCCAAGAGAAGAAAGAACAGCCTTTTCAAAAGCAACCTGTTCTTTCTCTTTCTCTTTCTCTTATTCTTTCTTTCTCTTTCTCTTTCTCTCCCTCTTCCTCTTCCTCTTCTTCTTCTTCTTCTTCCTCTCTTTCTCTTTCTCTCGTTTCCTTTCTCTTTTCTTTCTCTTTCTCTTTCTCTTATTACATGGTTCATTAAGAAAAAACTTAAGGTGGAAAAGGTCGCGCAATCAACATGCTGAACCCCACTCACTACAAGTACTACAAGTACTAAAAGTACTACAAGTACTACAAGTGCTACAAGTACTGCAAGTTCATCAGCAAAACAACAGTTTTAATTGGACTTCAATTGTAGCCAATTGAAATCCTTACTTGAGTGCGGATTTGTTTTTCCTGGGAAGAAAAAAGTTGGCGCTCAAGTTTGAAGAGGGTATATCTATTGTTGGGGGGGCCTTACACTAATCAGGACGCTCGGACGCAACATAATCCCAATATTCTGGACAGTATAACTCCCCTAAAACTATAATAAACCAACATATTTACCTATTCTATCCCTATCATAGTTCTACAGGGCTTTAAAGGGGAAATTCCGAAGCCACCATGGCTTTCAATACAAATTCATGGTCATCCATGACTTCAATGATTTGGGGGTATCACTATCTTAGGAAACCTCCATATCTCCAGCCATGAATGATATGAGTGGCAAAATATTCCGTTATTTTTGTTGAAAAAGGAGTGAAATGCGCTCTTCTCAATCCAAAACGGCCACGGCTGGCCCGGATAGAATTCATCATGAACCTGCTCAAGTTTCTCTAGCATGCATTTGTTTGCCACCCCACCGCTTCCCAAATGCATCTCTCCAAACCATTCCGTGAATTGCGCCATCAGGGCCTTTTCATAGATGCCCCAATGAAAAGCGCAGGCTTTCCTTGGACAGAGAGAACTCCTCCATTTATCGCCGCCAAAACTAACTCTGCAGCTGCAACCATTGCCGTTGGTTTGCGCCTGAAGGTAGTGAGGTTTGTTTCTGTTCGACTCGCAGATATGGTGCCCTCCCACGCTTGCTGTTCGTCAAAGAGATTGAACCCCATTTCAGTTGCTTAGAATTTCAATGATTTCCATGGTATATATTCCCATGGTATCATCTCAATGCTAACATGGGAATAATGACTGTAATACCGATACCATGGGAATCTAGTGCTCAAATTTTGAGCCGCTTATAACATTAGAGACTCATAGATAATTCTGATTGAATCCCCCCCCATTTTTCGCCCATTTTCACATCTTTTCACCCCGCTGCTCCAACGACACTCCATCCCCCCGAACCCGCCGCAGCGTTCGTTCCGAGCGCGGGACGTGAACTCCGACTCTGGCAGCCGTACGGCCAGGCGCGCTTCGGCTGAGACCTGCAGAGGTCGAATGGGTAGAACCGAGGATAACTTGATGATACCCTCCGGTAAAATCACATAGACCCTGCCGTTTTTCGGGGTTGGAAGATTAGTTTCCATTAAAAATTGGTGATTCTCAGGGTCTATGTTAATTTACCAGAGGGTTAAGATGGGAATATCTACAATGATTTTGATGATGATTATAATGATGAATGGTGGATGAATTTGATGGGAATGATGGGAATATGATGATAATTCATGATTATACAAATAACGATGGATGATACTATCATAGGCATTTCAACAATTACCATGGGAATATACATATATATATATATATAATATGTATATATATATATATGTAGTGATAATAAGGATTTTAATGATACTCCTCAGTAAATTAACATAGACCATGAAAATCACTCATTTTTTAGTGGGAACTAATCTTCCAACCCCGAAAAACGGCGGGGTCTATGTTAATTTACCAGAGGGTAATATGAAAGGACTATCATAATGATGGGAATATGTATATATATATATAATGATAATAATGACAAAAATGATTTTAATGATATTATGATAGTGTGGATTTCTCATTATATTCCCACTGATAAAAAGGATCTTAATGGTGCTATATCATGGGAACATGTAATGGGACATAATGGGAATATTCCGTAGGGTTATGATCATGACATAGCAAGAATCACCATAATCTTCAAGGACTGGATAGCCATATTACCAGTGGGATCAAAAAAACTGCTACCATCTGGTTATGACTAACAGTTCGCCATGGAAAATCCCTTGTAAATGGAGGTTTTTATGGGAAAATCATCTGTTTCAATGGGCCATTTTCTATAATTTTCCCATGGATTTGACATATCTTTTGTTGGAATGGCTTCCTATCATGGTGGCATTCGGATTTCACCGCGCGGTGATTCCACTCACGTTTTCGACCAAACATAGTGAAAAGACTGCTGTTTTGTTTAGCAAAAACCCGACCAAAACCAAGGTTGATCCAGAGGAGGGGACATAGGCTGGAGGTAAAAATACAAAAAATCCACACTTAAAAAAAATGTCTTTCCCGCAATAGGTTGGAACAACCCAGAAAACGGTCTAATCAACCTGGATAAATGATGTCACAATTTACCGTTGATGTTATATATGTATCTATGTATGGAGGTTTCCTGAATTGGGGGCTACATCGAAACCATGGGTTTCAATACTAATTCATGGTCTGATTTTGGTAGCCCTATTTTAAGAAAACACACATCTCCGTTCGAGACATCCACTCCCCATCTGTTGGTTATTTTTTAATGTTCCGAAGTCACAACTTGAAACCCAACTATTTGACGGGGTCATTTCACAGGCCAAATCATCATTTTGTAGGGCTTTTTGGGATGGTAGGCGGGGCATCGGACATCCCACTCATTTCATGCTGGTTAAAGCTTCTAAGGAGTGATCATCCCTTGTATTACAATGCTGTATGCTATGATGAAATGGCCATATATGGCCATATGATCCCGCCCTATGATACATCCTGAAAGCCAACCAATTTTGTCGTCATGTAAAAACCAGCCAGTTTATCTATGCCAGTTAGGAATCGATAGAAACCACTCCCCAGAGGTTTATGATATTGAGTATACCGTATAGCCCTATTTTGGGATAATGTACACCCCCTAAGTTACACCCATAAAACTAACTAACTCGAGTCTTTTGCAGGGCAGGTCACAGATGCATAGTAGGCTTGTAGATCTCATTAAATCCCCATGGCTTCTTGCGGGAAAATCACTATATTTCAGTGTTGACATCCCCATTTCGGATGGGTGAACTCCCCTTTTGGTACCATCTCCACGACATCCAACTGGCACTGGGTTTCCCTCACCCCTTCCGGTGCTGTCACCCACACCGAACTGCCGCCCGCGCGCGCGGCCGGGGCGGCCGGGGCTGGGAGCACAGTTGGAGCACTTGGCTGTGAGGTGCCTGCCACGGTCGCCAGTAGATGATCCAACTGTCACCATGCCCAAGTATCAAACACCATAGGTGTATTGGACATGAAATAATTATCCCAAGAATCCGGGCAAATTACAGAATCATTTCGGTCTTTGGGCAGAAAATGGGCTAACGCACAGTTCGAGTTTAACCCTCTACCACTGGTAGATCAGGGTTGCTCCCACAAGGGGGCGGAAGATTGGTGGGTTGGAGTAACACTGACTGGTAGACAATGAAGCCACTAGCTACTTAAAACATGGCCCAAAGAGCCACATAACGAGGTGCAGCGGTGCAACATTTGGAACCCTGAAAGCTCCACGACTTTCCGTGCGCCCAGCCGGTAGCTCGAGAATCAACATGAAGCTGGTTGAATCAAATAAAGACGACAAGCAGCAAAACTTGAATTTTCACCAACCATCATATATATATATATTTTGGTAGCACCCGCGCTCTCAACCCTGGAGAGACTTTTCCGCTTGGGCATTAGAGTCCCTGCATGTGAACAGATGGCGATTCGACACTGCTACCAATCTAAAAAGAAAAGTGGAGCTTTCCCAGGATCTCATCTATCTCTGACGCGCAATGGTGGTTCCTGGGATCTTTGGAATCTGAGATTCTTCACCTTCGTAGCCGGCAGCAATGAGGTAAGCTGCCAAATCCTTCAACTGAGCTGATCCAGACTTTCGATGTGACATCACATAACCGCGGTATGAGGCCATCTCTGCAGTAGATTCATGACGAATTTCTGCATACGTCTTCTTCCCCTGAAACTTCCCAAAACTCACTTTGTAAGTTCCCCAGTCAGGCACTGACGTAATGCCTGGAGGCAAGCACATCTTCAGAGGGACTTCCACTGTAGAAGCATGAGATGAGAAAGGTACATCACTCACATTCGGCATCACGTATCCAGCTGAGCACTCTACATCTCCTGACACCGGTGTATCGTTGTCAAAACGGCGTTTTGAGCCGTCGGTCATGGCACCCTTGCCAGAGATAAACTCATCACACAAACGGTAATCACCGTCGGCGAGACCAACTGCATTAAACTCCGTGTGGAGCCCATTCTCAATCCTCTTGACACGGTCCATCACATCATCAAAGCCTCCACGGCTACGCGCAACCAGGACCAGTTGCACGCACTGATCAAAGTCGCTGACCGTCCAAGTGGAAGGCTTGGCATCAGTTCGAGGCATCTTGGAATTTGACATCTCTCGGCTAAAGGCGCTACGGTTTCGCTATGCTACACTGCTGAAACAAGATTGGCTAAAAAGGGCGGCAGTCGAATGCAGTTCTTTTCAGACACATGCAAAAAGCGGCTAAACCCCTTCCCCTTGATGGTTATTTATGATTATCTAAGGTCATTAAACATGACAAACCCCTTGGGACATGACTCAAGCGTTACTCTTCAGGCAACTGTGACTTCTGTGCAAAATTCCGTCTTCTCTCTCTCTCCTCAGCTCTTCGTTCCAAGATCTTTTGCTCGGGACTTATCTGATAACGTGCCGAGCGGATGCATGCTCTAAGGAGATCAAAAGCCTCAGGGCTCTCCTTAGTCAGTGAATCGGCCAGCATTCTGTCAGTTGGTAGCCATCGCAAGGAAACACCTAGCCTACTGATGCAGTCTCTGATAATGATTATGTCTATAGCAGTCCTCCTATCATCCAAGGTGGGAGATGATTGTGACATGAGATGATCATAAAGAGATTTGCAGTCAGTGGCAACCAGCATCAATCGCTTGGAGGCATGATTCCAAAAGTTGTATACGTAGCGAGGCCCATCCAACGCCTCTGACAGCAAAAGAGAAACCCATTCGCACATACTTGTAGCCACAGCCATGCTCTGTGCTTCAGCGCTGAGAGTAGAGCTCACGACTCTGGGCAGCCGTGCGCCTTTCCAGTATATTGGCGACCATGAACACTCAGCACCAACATCCATGTCTGCATGAGTGAAACTGATCATGTAACCTGCTTGTGTGGCACCTGCTTTAGCATTGGCAAACGCTGCATCAGAATGACACATGATAGATAACTTGTCAACCGGAATACTGGAAAATCTCAGGTTCTGATCGGCATGTTGCCGGGCACGTCGGACAGCATGGTTCGCGGCCAGTGCGTCCAAAACTGTAGGACTTGGAAAGGATTGTTGGGAAAACGAGACCTGAGTAGCCAAATCTGGTCTGGACTGTGTGGCCAGCCAATTCAGGCTACCGTTCACTGCTCTCAGACAGCTCACTTCTTTGGGAGTGAGCTCGGCCGACTTGTCTCGCAAACGATCTTTGCTAAAGTGGATTGGACGAAGCTTCTGAATGAACTTGCTTTGTGACATATGCACTTCAAGGGAAATAGGATCTTGAGTATAGCTAGCACCACAAAAATCCCCTCCCTCTATGCCATCGCGCCACTTCCGAAATTCAAAGTTCTCTTGCAAATGCTTGAGAGCCTTTTGATACTTAGGTCCATGTCCACCTGTTGCACAATCATCTACGTGAACACCGTAGATGCCAGTCAGCTCTCCGTTCTCTCTCATGTAAAAGAGGCAGCTATCAAAACGTGATTTCTCAAAACCCGCTTCCAGCAAAACTGTTGACAGCTTTCGATACCATGCTGATGGTGAGTCGTTCAACCCGTATACATGGCCTACCACTTCTATGAGAGCATCTTCCGGAATGCCTGGAATGCCGCCTTGCGGCAAGCGTGCAAACAATGGTCGATATTTGAGAGGAAGATCGCCAGCTGACAAAAAGGCTCCTTTGATGTCGCCCAACTTGAGACGCCACTTTTTGGAAACAATGAGCTGAAACAACATGTGCCTAGCAACTTGTGACAACGTTGGCGACTGCAAGTCACCGGTGACGGCCTTCACTCCAAGGTCTGGGTCCAAATGACCCTGTAGGCACCAGCGTGCCTTGACACGCTCTGGAGCATCATCCTCCTGCTTGATTGTGATTACATACCTACTACCCATGATGCGATTTGGCATACGTTTGCGTACCTGTTCAGCCTCGGGACCCAACACCAACCGAGCAGCATGTTTGGCCAGGATGGTATTCCACTCCAACAACTTGGCTTCATCCACTTTACGCTGGAGTTCAGGGGGATTTCCTGCACTACGGATCTCTTTGGCTGACTTCTTTTGCATGTAGCTAGCCATCAAGGTTTCTATTGGTTCCCCATTGTCTAGCATGGTTCTCAACTCTTCAGCTTCAGAAACTGTCAGGTTTTCCCTAGGCAATTGTTCAACAGCCGAAGGAGACGAACAATGTTCTACTGACAAAATGGTCACCTCATCACATGCAAACGTGGATCCTTCATGGTCAATGACCAACGCATCATTGGAAGGCTGATCCCGGGCAGGGGACTGTGTCCTCTGGCTTTTAGCAGAGTCAGTTGACTCGGGATTGGATTCGGATGAACTGCGCTTGGTGGCAGCCGGTCTTGTTTCGCTCTGGCTCGACTCGGACCTACCTGTGTTCTCACTACGCAGCACCTGTTCCAACAGTTGTGGGACAACCTCTTGCATCATTTCTGAAAAATCATCTTGGGCCATGCGACCAGGACGAAACAGAGCTGGTGCTCCTTGCTTACTCAACACCTTTCTGCGCACAGGGCCATAGCTGGCAGCCTCTTCTGATGACTTCGCATCAGAACTGTGTCCACGGAACACGCTAACATCGGCTTCAGCAGCGACCTGTGGTGGCATCGGAACATCCGGAGGATCATCGAAAACACTATCAACCATGGGAGACTTATCTACAACCTCGGGTTCTGGCAGTTCCGACGACACATGCGACTGCTGTTGGCGGTCGGATACAGACATCGGCTCTGGCTGAGGCCTGTCAGACGGCTCGGCTGATGGATTTGGCAGTGCACGATCACCTGAACCCGGTGGATAGCTTTCAGGCAACAGATCAACATACTGTCGACTATTGATAGAGCCCTGGTCAATCAAATCCTTGATACCTGCCAATTCCAGATGTGGTGTTTGAGACAACTGTTGTTCGGATTCTGTTGATGCTCGGATTTGTTCAGGGGCACATCGGAAGATCTGTTTCTTATGGATGATGACATAATTACGCCCCACATTACCCAAAACTACAGCTGGTCCGTGCCATTTCCCCTGGTTATCTAAGGAACCATGTACCCATTTTTGAGACCTCCAATATGCAACACTTTGACCGGGAGACATGGCAACTGTCACTCGGGGCCGAGCCGCAAGAGCAAGCTTCAAGGACCGGGAGTCCTGCAGCACTAGCACAGCTCTTCTGGCTGCTTGACGCGTCGCAACTTGCTTGGCCAAGGCTTCCTGATACAGGGATGCAGTGGCTGGCACAACTTCCAGCGGTTCATCCATGAGATTCTCAGGGATTCGGGGATTGCGGCCAAACACGAATTGGGACGGTGTCATACCATACACTTGAATCAACTGATTTTTGCAATGGGATGCATGAACACAATCCAACCACTCTTGTTGATCTTTGGGGACTCGCTCATTGATGACTTTTGTGAAGATACGGTTAAACCAACCCCCATGCACTTCAGTTTTGCCTAACTGCCAATGGGCATTGGCTGCCGTGATCTTGATCTGAGCACCGTTCTCCTCGAGAGGAACTGTCAGGGCATCAGCAACGTTTGGCTGGGCCGGGTCGCATACCACTTCAGTCGGCATGCCTGCCCAAGAGACCCATCGCTCCATAAACGTGTTGAGGATCAACTCAGACGTCTCTCTTTTGAACAACGGCACCATCACCTGCAAACTACTGGCATAGTCAATCATATTAAGAGCAGGAATCTTTTGGTTAGTGGTCCATCCAGTCAAGTACTTAACATCGATACCTACCAGGGAATTAAATTCAGTGGTGCGATGTGTTTGGGCTGGTGGTGGCAACTTCGGCTGTGCATTGGCAACGCACTGCTCGCATGTCAGCTCTCGGGCTGCTTGCAAGGCTGCTGGAGAAGCACCTCCATGCTTCAGCACTCTCAACAACTGTTGATTGGGCGGATGTCCTAAGTTGGAATGCAATTTCAACAGGCTTTTCCGGAGTTGAGACCCTTCTTCAGCATTGAGCTCATCTAAACGAGCTGCTACCAGGCATTCGTGCGAGCAATCTGACTGCACTACTAGCACAGGCTGGGGCTGCAGTTCCGGAACCGTGGCAAGCACGCTCTTGACAAAGGCTGTGGGATATTTGCCAGCAAACTTGCTAACTGAGCCTACTTGAGGGACTGATCCAGCTATCACCTGGTGTTGGACATGCTTCGGATCTGCATTCCCCGGGCACTTCCTACTCAGGCTGCACATGTCACTGTGAGACACCAAAAGTCGGGTTGACTTTCGGATAAGGTCTCCACCTGGGATGGCAAGACCATATCGGCACATGTGCAAGTCAACAACATACATGTTCGGAAAGTGTGACAACAACATGCTCCATGCAACTGAATCCTGAGGGTGCTCGAACAAAACACGGCCACCATTCCTCAACTGTACTTCGATGAGTTGCTTACAGAACATGATGAACAGTCGTGTCAGGACTTCCTTCTCTCGAACCATCTCAGGAGACATGCGTTCTTTGTTAAGGTGGAACCACCCCCCTGCCCATGTACATGGAGGACACAGGACAAGAAGCTCAGGCTTGCGGTTCTCTACAATGTCTCTCATGAGGGATCGATCACTCTGTTTCCTGAAATCCCAACCCGTGCAAAGGTCGGCAGATATACAGCTAAGACCACGAAGTTCACACTCTAGAGCAAAACGTGGTGGAGAGAACACTTCAACGACATTGACCTTGGTGACATCCTTAGTCACTTCTCCCTGCCTGATCTGTGAAAGCAGCTGACGGTGCTGCTTGGGCGTCCATTGCGTCAGGCAGACTTCGTTCTCGGTAAAGGCCTCAAAACAGGTCAAATCGGCATCGGGCTGGATGGCGAAAACTGTTCTTCCTTTCCACTCTGCTCCATGTTGGATTCGATGAGCATCTACTGAATCTGTCCATTGGTCACACACTTGATATTCCGTTTCATCATTCATGGGCATGACATGAGTGACTCTATGTGACATGAGATGCTTGACATCAATTGGACACTGGGTGTGACATGGCGTGAACCTGGCACGACGGGGCTTGACATGGTGTCTTACTACCAATCTATCTTTAGGCCTAACTTCCCAGTAATCTTTGACCTTATCCCTGTGTTTATTTACTTTAACCGAGTGGCATGGTGGTGCATCAGTTCCTGGCTGGCAGTGCAGTGTCACTCCATGGCTCTCATCTGAGTCATCAGACGCATCAGCGGACAACACACGGGGTGCTACGGAGTCAGCATTGATTGGGCTATGACCTGGAAACTTGGAGACATTCACAGTGTACTGACCAGCCTCGTTCACCAGCATTGGCACTGTCTCAGTGCCGAACAACGTCAGCTCATCGCGATCAAAGTTCATGTGGGCTTGCAGAGTCTTCAGAGCAGCTCTAGACAACAACAAGGGGGCTGACCCTCTCACCACTGCTGCACGAACTACTCCTCTTCTACCAGCTATGTACACAGGCATATCAATCATCCTATGAGACACTTCACGCTCACCATTGCCAAACTTAAAAGTATTGGTCTCAGCGCGTTCAGCAGGGACTCGAACACCATGAGCTTTCCAAATGCAGTGAAAATCATGTAGGGTGTCTTCTCCTACAATGGTCTTACCGCATCCACTGTCCAAAACAGCAAAGCCGGGTGAGCTCACCAGGCAAACATCATGACATGTCGCATGTTCAGATTCCAGCTCATATCCTGCAGAACAAATGAAGTGCTCTTTCTCATCAGTCACGACAGAGACCATACCTGCCGCATGATCTTTCCCAGAGGTACCAGCTGAGACAGTTGAAGCGCTAGAGGCACCACGAGCTTTGCACTCTCGGGCAAAATGCCCCAACTTGTTGCACTTGAAGCACTTGGACCGCTTCTTAACCTCTTCCACCTCTACACGAAAGGCTCTACGAAGATCATTGGCTTGATTGAAACGGCGACTCTTCTGTAGCTTTGACAGCTCAGCCCGTTTGTTTTTCCAGGAGGCCGCAAGTACTTCTGCGGCTTCAGACTCTTCCCATTCCTCATCAGGGCCCAGAGAAGAGCTAGCATGTTCATCAACCAGTCCATGCTCGGCCAACAGCAGCTCCACATCTTCGAAGCCAGCTACTGCATTAGAGCTTGAGGCCTGCTGATCAAACTCATCAGGCGTTTCTTCCACCACATGGACTCCCGCAGCTTTGCGACGAGAGATGACATACTCAGGAAAACAGCTGCGCATCGCTTGAGAGACAGCATCAAACTTGAGGTTGCCTTGACCACGAGCCAAAACAACGGCCCTCTCGTGCTCCGTCAAGCCACTGCAGTTAAGCAGCACCCAGCCTCTGACCTCTTCTGGGAAGTCTACGCCGCATTTCCTGCGGCAACGGTCGAAGGCTTCTCGAGCCCTCGCCGACCACTGGCGCAAGGTCTCAGTGTCCTTGCCTTTCATGGTGAAGATCTCAGCTATGATCTCCCCAATCTCATCGGACTTGTCCTTCTGGGGCCATCGGGCATCCAAAAGGTCGAAAATGACCTTCTCTCCTCCCTCCACCTGGTATTGATCAGGTGTCAGGTGTTCAACTACTTCCAGTGCCTTCCCCTGGAGAAGCGTCCAAATGAACGCACCACGTGCCTCCTTGGGAAGGCGATCCATGACCAGAATTTTGTTCTGTGCCCACTGCTTCCATCTTTTGTATTCTCTGTGATCGCAGTCATCGCCGCTGAAATACTTCAGCGACCCCCCAGAATCCATGGCGATTCGCAGGGATCGGGCCTCTCCGGAGACCTCCCAAACCTACGTCGGAGCTTTTGGTAGCTCCGCTACCAGTTTTGGTAGCACCCGCGCTCTCAACCCTGGAGAGACTTTTCCGCTTGGGCATTAGAGTCCCTGCATGTGAACAGATGGCGATTCGACATATATATATATATGTATATCTCTATATATATATATATACACATTTATAATACATATTCAATATATTCTTTCTGACGATTTTCATGGATTTTCCCTTTTTTGATCTTCGGAGTCCCTTGAATTTGGCAACAAATCCGAGGACATAACCAGCAGTGGCAACAGGTCATCTCCAGCGGCTGATCTGCAGAGTTCACCCCTTCAAGTAGCGTTGAATATCATGAAAAACCAACATAAAACCAACATAAAACCCCAATCTGATTGTAAACTTACCATTAAACTTCAAAAACTTAGCATAAACTTAGCATAAACCAATCTAACCCCGTTTTTTTCTGCACTTTACCATCCCCCAAAACCTGCGCCTGCCACCGCAGGTTCCGCCCGGGATGATTGCCATGGGATAAATGGTGATTTAATGGAATCTCAATGGGGATATAATGGGGGAATCATTGGGTATATTACCCGGCCTGGTAAACTGTGAACAGTTTGCTATTGAAAATATGTTGATTTAGTTCGTGGATTTACCCAGCTACATAGCATGGTGGATCTTTCCAGTTCGTTTTTTGTTAACGTTTACCAGAGGGTATGACATATCATTGGAAATCCCATATCCCCATACAACCTCTATCCATGGTTGGTGAAATCATGTGAAATCCTTAGTCCTCCGTTCTCCACCATTTTCGATGCTCAAATCATCGTTCTTCATGCTGCAATCACATCCAATCACCATTTCTCTTACTTCAATCATCATTTTTCCATGAAAAATCATCATTCTTGTGGGTTAAATCAACATTTTTCCCTGAAAAATCACCACAATCACCATTTTTGTGGGTTACTCCAGGCCCAAAAAATGGAGTTGGCCGCTGCCTGCGCTGTGCGAAGAGCTCAGCGGGTTCACCGCTTGCCCCACCGCCTTGATCGTGGGAGAAACAAATCGCAGTTGGAGCAGGTCAAACGATACTGATAATGTATGACAATCTGGTTGGTGGTTGACCTACCCCTTTGAAAAATATGAGTTCGTCAGTTGGGATGATGACATTCCCAATATATGGAAAAATAAAAACATGTTCCAAACCACCAACCAGTAATGATAATGATAATGTTATTATTGTATCAGTATCATTATCAGTAAAATATCAGTATTATTGTTATTATCGGGTAAAATGATCAAATATCATAAAATATCAGGTAAACTATGATATATTTTCATGATATTTAACTATAATGTTATTTAATATCAGTAGAATATCAGTATCATTATCATTTATCATGATATTTTATAATGTAGTTTTTTTTTAATGATACTGATATTTGTTTTATTATGTATGATAATTATCAGTTATTATCAGATAAAACATGATATTTAACCATCAAATATCATGATAATGATAATGTATATGTCAATGTATATGATAATGATAATGATACTGATAATACATATTTTATATTGATAATTGGGTATAATGTGTTTCACCGCCCCCACCCAGTGTTTTCAAGTATTCTATATGTGCACGTTTCAGAGATGTTGTGCACGTGTCAGAGATGTTGTGCACGTTACCCAGCAGTTGTGCACGTTTCACAGAAGTTGTGCACGTGTCACAGAAGTTGTGCACGTTTCACACGCCCCCTAATAACGTTCGTGTTCGACTGTATACAGACTGAGCGCATTCTAATCAGCAAAAGCATTGGGGCGACCAAACCCGTTCTCCCGTGATAATTATAATACGTATAATATCTGATAAATATTTTATATCTACTGATAACTATCTTATATGATAAATATATGTATAATCTTTAATATTGTATACTCACGAGGCATGAGAACGGATTAATATATGAATATATAATGATAATTACACTTAAAATGACTACTGTCAATAGTGGATAAATAGTGGATCATAGCACATCCTGGTACATACAATTAAGACTACATTAATTACAGTACTAATCATGATAAAATGGATAGCACATGAATATTTAATGGATAGTGAGTAGGTTATTGAATGATCATTAGATTAATTCAATACATATATATATGTATATGATTAATGTATGAGAGATGTATATCATTGTCCAACTGATCATTCGATACCCAATCACATAATATGGGAGCCCAATAATGAAGTATCTAATGATCATGACTAAGTATCTAATCAGCTACCATGGGTGTGATCATGGATCATGACAAAGTACATGTGCGAAACCCAAAAATAAACATGAATGTCTGATGGATAACTAATGGATAATTCATGGATTGTTAGTGGATGATTCATGGGTGATTCATGGATTGTTCGTGGGACACCCTGGCCATAAACCTGCTGGGGATGGTTTGTACCACCGTAGAATGATGATTTTGGGAATGGTTTATGATATGGGGCTCTCCGCATTACTGATTAAAGGCTCTCCGTATATATCATTCAGGATGGTCAACCTTTATCATCATTAGTCAGTTTTCCCATTAAAAATGGTGATTTTATACGATCTTATCTGATCGGTGGTTGACCTACCCCTCTGAAAAATATGAGTTCGTCAGTTGGGATGATGACATTCCCATATGGAAAGTCATAAAAGTCATTTTCCAAACCACCAATCAAAGTTGGAAATTTTGAGGCTTCCTTCTCATTGACAGACCCATTTACCATGAATGGTGGTACCCCTCAGTTGTAAGTTTGTTTATAAGCCCCTGCCTAACTAGTTCGATATATCTACCTAATCAACAGTGAAATCGCAGTTATGTTCACCAACTTAGCCAATAAAAAAAGGGCACCACCTTAGAGATAGGTCAGATTTCCCATTGTTCTTATGATAGGTCAGATTTTCCCATTATAGGTCATATTTCCATGACATGTTGGGAAATCAGGGGAATATACCCTCTGGTAGTTTAACATAGCCATAGAACATGGCCTATTTATAGTTGATTTACCTATTAAAAATGGTGAATTTCAATGGCTGTTAAATAACCAGAGGGTAACAATGAATATGACCTATCATATACCCTCTGGTAAACATACAAAAAGCGAACTGGAAAATGACCACGCATTTTATAGCTGGGGTTTTTATCCATGATTTCGACTGGGCCATGGCTTCAATAGCCTTGGTAACAGTCACCAGAGGATACATCCCTGAAAATATCCCAGTATTATCCCATCATCCCAGCAAATCATCTCCAAAAACACCATATGAAAAACCAGGCAATACGGGTAATATCCCAATGATTTGTCCATTTTTTTTCCCCAATCTGGATTTCATTCATATAGCTATTGTGACATAACCAGGCAATACGGGTATTCCCAGGATTTCCATTGCAGCTGGCACGACCTTTTGACGCCGCCATGACGAGCGATTCATGGCTATGGGGCGGTGGTGAAACGGCCAAACGCGTTGTCAAGGTCATAAACATCAATTGAGGATATGACTGAAATCGTTTTGGGAATAGTGTGACATAGAATGATTTGGAATGATTTAGATATAGATATAGAATACTTGATCCAGATATAGAATGATATAGATCTATTTTTGCAAATTCGAATCGTTCACTTGAAATTTATAGCTATAACCATTCCAGCGAGGCCGGAGTGAGATGGTTGTATTTTATCCATATCCCAATATAAACAAGATTTTCCAGATATACAAATATATTGTGATAACCTGTTTTATTGTGGATCATTTATAAACCTGACTACCCACATATTCACATATCATCACATATCCAAGTATACACGCAGGGTATACACAGCAGTTGAGCAGGTTTTGACCCAGACCAATCTACCTCTGATATCACGGGGGACGTTTCGCAAAACACCTGCAGCTACAAAAAGCTACAGGTTTCCAGGAGGGAAAACAGGTGTCACCAACTTTAAATCACATGAAGAAAAAGTGCCTTTTTTTTGATAGGTCAGTTGATTTGAAAGTAGGCAAATGGACTGGTAAGAATGGTCGATCTGCCACTCACTGTACATTTTTTTTGGCGGCCCAGATTCTCTTTGAACATCGCGACGTTCCCGCGTTCTTGGTGGCACTGCAACCCTCCCAGAATTGGCACCTTGGCCCAGTTAGTACTTACCTTTTCCCTTGCCATATGCCATGCCGCTCCAATCACCGCCCCAATCACCTGCGGGGTAAAAAAAAAGCTCGAACGGTCGGCCAAGGGGATCACAAAAAGCGCTTTTGGTATCAAGAGAAATAGGGATATGAACCAACAATCGCCCATTCATAAAGGGATTTCATGGAATATTCATGGGATAATGGATATATATATATATATATATGTAAAACCAACATGACCAACATTCACCTTTTTAATGGGATGTGGAAGCAACACTCATTTATCGGTTGGGAAACTCTCATTGTAGCCCCAAAAAGCTCTGCCAAAGCGACCCAACATGTCACCTCGAAGAATCCCCCAACGAGATACGCGATTCAAGTGGGATCGCCATCCCATTGATGGAAAATCATCATCGGTCACGATCTATTTGGTTATATATATATATATAAATCACCAGATAATGGATGTATATATATAATATGTATATAATATATATATACATATACATATAATATATGTATATAATATATATATATATATACATATACATATATAAATAATAATGTATATATATATTTACGAATCTTCTGGGCTTCGTGGATGGCTGAAGCAAACAAAAAAGTAGCAACTTTTTGGTAACAACCAAACGTCTCCAAATATTGGATCACTTGGCGATTCTCAAATCTTCAGACCTTTGCTAAGTGCTGGTCTGGCCCAGTTGACATCTGAATCCCGAAGACTTGAAGAAACATCAATTCAGTAGTCACAACAGTTGAACCACCCCCCAAAGTTTCAA